CTGAAATGAAAATGACAAAACAAATGTTTTCACCAATCGGACCTCTTCTGGTTTAACCCCAGAATCAGCTAGAGGAAACATTCCCACCTTGAACTCATAAGACTCCTCAATGATGACCTCCAGTCGGGCATGTTCGCCCAACATTGGTCTGCCCAACTCTGCAATTCGCCTCTCCTCCTTCTCCTTCTTTGTTAAAACCTCCTCGCACAACCCATCTGATGGAGAGAAATGGATAGATAGATAGATAGATAGATAGATAGATAGATAGATAGATAGATAGATAGATAGATAGATAGATAGATAGATAGATAGATGATAGATAGATAGATAGATAGATAGATAGATAGATAGATAGATAGATAGATAGATAGATAGATAGATAGATAGATAGATGATAGATAGATAGATAGATAGATAGATAGATAGATAGATAGATAGATAGATAGATAGATAGATAGATGATAGATAGATAGATAGATAGATAGATAGATAGATAGATAGATAGATAGATAGATAGATAGATAGATAGATAGATAGATAGATGATAGATGATAGATAGATGATAGATGATAGATAGATGATAGATAGATAGATAGATAGATAGATAGATAGATAGATAGATAGATAGATAGATAGATAGATAGATAGATAGATAGATAGATAGATAGATAGATAGATGATAGATAGATGATAGATGATAGATAGATGATAGATAGATAGATAGATAGATAGATAGATAGATAGATAGATAGATAGATAGATAGATAGATAGATAGAACAGACAAACCTGTGATGCTGATGATGGAGGAAGGGACGGGGTGGTCTCGGCCTTGGACTTTTCTGTAGACGTCTTTGCCTAAACAGGAATGATGAATCAGAACCAGAGACTCCATTAAATAACGCAAACAGACACACACACACACACACACACACACACACACACACACACACACACACACACACAGCAGGCCGGGTGTCCCACACGGCACCTTTCATGATTCCTGACTTGTCTACCTTTAAGTCTAGGCTTAAAACCTTTATTTGATAGGGCTTATGGTTAAATTCTGAGTAACGTTGGCCCAGCTGGTAACTTTATTTTCTCTCTAAGATTTTTTCTCACCAGAAGAAGCTACAATAATGTCCTTGTGAGCTGTAGGAGCCTCATGGAGGGGCCCGTCGGCTAGCACGCTGCTGCTAACCACTTAAACGTTCTCCCTCTCCTGATATTAATGTTTTACTTTCTATAACATATGATGTGCTACTACTAGTTCATCTGTCGTGTGTGTGTGTGGTCTTCTCAAACCCCTGTCCGCTGCAACAGATGTCCGCTCACACTGAGGCAAGTTCTGTTTCTTCCTGTTGAAAGGGAGTTTTCCTCTCCACTATCGCTACATGCTTGCTTGGTATGAGGATTGCTGTAAAGACTCTGACACAACAAGTCGGTGACTCGATGCAGTCTTCTGGGTTTACTTACACAGGAAACTCTCATTTGTAAAATTTCATAATTTGTCAGATTCAAGTTATTTCTGGAACCTTTGTGGCTTTTTCTTTCATTGACCCAAGGGTGCCGACACTTTTGTCCACATCTGCACATGCATGGACGTAATTTTGGGGGGGGACAGGGGGGACATGTCCCCCCCCACTTTTTCCAAAGTCAAGTTTTGACCCCTGCACTTTTTACCATCCAAAAACAATATTATGCTATGTTAAATTGACACTGGTTGCGCTCTAGGACCAAGCGGAAAACAACCGTTTGTGTTGAACCCCATTTCCCATTAGAGCATACTGTAAAGATCCCCACCCCCACCCCCACCTTGTGTCCCCCCCACTTCTAAAGTGAAAATTACGTCCATGTGCACATGATGCACGTGAACGTTTTCTTCACTAACTTCCTCTAAATGTTTGCGGTCTCTCACCTGTCCTGATGAATCCACCTGGGGAGGAAGGAGACATGGATGAAAAGGTTAGATGTTTAAAATGAGCAGAAAACCTGAAGACCATTCAGAGAAAAGGAAACGCGCTTACCAACTTCCTGAAGCAACACGGCTAAAGAAAGGAGACCGGTGAGAGAGAAGCATGAAAAAGAAACAAAAGAGGAATGAAGCTGAAGAAGATGGGCGGAGGTATCTTCATGCAGACATTTAACTCCAGGGTTAGGACTACGCCAGCTCAAGCAGAACCAGACTGCGGCAGAACGGGTTTAGGGTCGAGTACGATTCAGGTTAAGTTAGTTCAAACACCAAAACAAACAAACAGGTTTTTAATCAAACCAGCAGGACCAGGAGGTCCGAACAAGCTGTCCAAAGACGACCGCACATATGCTGAAGTAAGGGCGGGAGTCTGAAGCAGACCGTCCCATTCCGCAGCCCCACAGTTCTGGTCATCCCAGTAGATGAAGGACCCCTTCACAGCTCAGAGCCGAGAGTGTGTCGTCATCTTAAATCAGATCCAGACTCCAAAAATTCCCAGCAGTTCACGTGACTTTGTCATAAAACTTTATACCTTTCTCAGTTTTTGCGTCGCAATTATTTATTTGGAACTAAATAAAGTTTTTGAACAGTTAATCTAAACCAGAACCGGCCCAACCAATCCCAGCCAAATTCCCTGACAGTCCTAACCAGTGAGGAGTCGGCATGCAACCAGAGGAAGCAGCAGCAGACAGCAGCAGGAGAGGTCAAAGTTCAGACAGGTGAAGGTGTGTCCCCACACCTGTCCATCTCCTCCTGTCCCAGTGTGGCTCCTGCAGTTCCATGTAGAAGCTGGCCCTCTTATCGTACTCCTCGTGGTCAATTATTTTAACAGATATGGTCTTCCTGCAGGGGGAAGGGTCAGAGGTCATGCATTAGTACAAGCACACTCAAACATGCTCCTGGGATCAAAATACAAAAACTGACAGCGCTCCATCTCAGTGAGGAGATGACCCCACCCCACCTTTCTGCAGGGAACAAAGGATCAGAACATCAGGTGATGAAACGGAGACACACCTGCAATCTCTCATCATTCGCTTTGCTCTTAGAATTTATTAATCACTGATTTTTATCCCTGCATGGAGCTGTGGCGGGTCAAGATTAGCAAAGGTCAAAGGTTAATTCTGATGTGGGCAGCGTCAAGGCACGGGGTGGAGATGCCCCCACCTTTCCGATGACTCATCTCCAGCAACTGAGGCTCCCCCATTTCCAGGAAGAAGTTCTTGTTTTTTTCGTACTCCTCGTCATCAATTATATTGATATGAATTGTTTTGCTGCAATTTGAAGGAAAAAAAGAGAGAAACGATGCAAATGAAGAGGAAAATAGTTGAAGAGTAAACAATAACAGGTAAGAGGTAACAGCAACAGGTAAACATAGGATTTAGTAAAGAAACAAAGTGGTGTGAGAACATTTTGAGGAACATCTAGCTGCTGCTCCTCTTCATCTTCACTCAAGTGAGGTGGTTATTTTTTAGGAAGAATCCCAGTTTTCTAGAAGGAAACTCAGATCAGACACAGATCCTCTCCGGTCAGAGAGCACCGAGGGATCTCCTAGGACTAGGATTAGGATTAGGATTAGGACTAGGAGGAGATGGAGAGGATCACCGTGGAGAAGGAAGTTTGGGTTTCCCTTTAGCTTTGGAGACCAGGTGCTGGAAACAGATTCGAAGATGCGTGTGTTTGTGTGTGTGTGTGTGTGTGTGTGTGTGTGTGTGTGTGTGTGTGTGTGTGTGTGTGTGTGTGTGTATGTGTGTGTGTGTGTGTGTGTGTGTGTGTGTGTGTGTGTGTGTGTGTGTGTGTGTATGTATGTATGTGTGTGTGTGTGTGTGTGTGTGTGTGTGTGTGTGTATGTGTGTGTGTGTGTGTGTGTGTGTGTATGTGTTTATGTGTGTGTGTGTGTGTGTGCGTGCGTGCATGCGTGCGTGTGTGTGTATGTGTGTGTGTGTGTGTGTGTGTGTATGTGTTTATGTGTGTGTGTGTGTGTGTGTGTGTGTGCGTGCGTGCATGCGTGCGTGTGTGTGTGTGTGTGTGTGTGTGTGTGTGTGTATGTGTTTATGTGTGTGTGTGTGTGTGTGTGTGCGTGCGTGCATGCGTGCGTGTGTGTGTGTGTATGTGTGTGTGTGTGTGTGTATGTGTGTGTGTGTGTGTGTGTGTGTATGTGTTTATGTGTGTGTGTGTGTGTGTGTGTGTGTGCGTGCGTGCATGCGTGCGTGTGTGTGTGTGTGTGCAGCAGCAGACTGATGGACTGAAGTTGTTTGCGTTCCTAACTGCTGACTGAACAATGTTCAGTTCCCTGTGAGGCTTATTTATGTGTGTGTGTGTGGGGGGGGGGGGGGGGCAGATTTAATCTGACTATATAATCCGGCCTTCTGCTCTTGTTTTTGAAATTTTTAATTCAGCCACTGAGTCGGGTCAGAATCTCCATTTCTGGGTCAGAACCCAAAACATCTGAGCGTCACATCGGCGCTCTGAGAATCGTTCCCGCGGCAATAGAACCGGATGGGCTGAACTGAATTAGCCAGAAGGAGGAACACCAGACCCTCAGGAACAAAGTCCAGTTGAAGTCCAGGAACCAGGAAGGATCCTGTCTCAGAGCTCGTTCAGATTTAAAGCTGCAGAGAAACAAAACATCTTCACAATGAGTGTGTTTATCTCTGGTCTTTTACAGGCTGGGTTCTGTGTGTGTGTGTGTGTGTGTGTGTGTGTGTGTGTCGGGATGTGGCTGTGCGCCAGCGTGGACCTCCCCCATGGCGGCTCTGACAGGAACAAGCTGCAGCCGTCTGTCTGCTTTATGGGCCGGCGCTGCGACGAGGAGCAGGACCTGGGCTGCTGAACACTGGCCGGCCTAATAAGGAAGAGAGCTTGGAGCTGTTTATTTGCTCCAGTTTGGACTGACAGAACCAGAAACGGCGAGTCCCCAAGCAGCTGGTCCACTCCTAGGGAGGAGCCGGAAGGATGGAGGCGACAACAACAGGGACCAAATCTAACTGATTTTATTTTTTGGGGGGTTTTCATGGCGGTGCAATTGGTTGCACTGTTGCCTCGCAGCAAGAATCCCAAGTTAGCACGTTCTCCAAGTTTTCCAAGTGGCTCTGGTTGGACCCAAGATGACTTTAAGCCAGGAGTAACTAACTGTAGATCAGGGGTTGCCATCACCACCATCACCCTAGCCCTAGTGGGATGTAACTGTGGGTCCGGGCGACTTGACCGAGTCAGTGCAATCCTTTGCAACACTAAAATAACAAAGACTGACTGAATTGTTGATGCAAAACCCGATGAAGACACCGACCAGCGAAACAACGTTGAAAACGGTTAAGTTTTATCTGCTGGAGAATCTGTGGTGCGATTCTTTTCTCACATGTTGGACGGCTGTCTAAAGAGTGACTCAACCAGAGCAAACGTCTGCAGAGTTTAGGGGTAAAGTCAGGTTGTACTTACAAGATCTCATCGTTCTCAAACTCCAGGACGCCATGCGTGTCCTCAAAGTCCTCACCGCCTCCTTTAGCTGTTCCCTCTATAGTTTTGTACGGGACCACTACAAAGCCACGAGCTCCTGAGTTCCTGAGCACCTTCACCTCCATCACCCCGATGCTCTCGCTCACAGTGACCACTGGCTCCTCAAATGTGAAGATACCAGCGTGGTCATCATCAAAAATGGTGACCGTGGCCGAGCAAGGCAGCCCGAGGCCTGCGATGGTGTCCGTGTGGTTTGGGTCGCGGCGGTCTGTGTCTTCTGATGTCACCCTCACGTTGCTGAGATGAACCAAGAAATGCTCATCCTCCTCAAATATGTCATCGTCAATAATATCGATGCGGATTTCTTTCTCGGTCTCGCCTGGTTTGAACACAACGGTTCCTTTGGTGTACCGATAGTCGGAACCAGAGTTTGCCGTGCCGTCTTCGGTCTGGTAGTCCACGGACACGGTGGTGTTTAAGTCTCCACCTCTACGGACCACATTGAGTGCCACGCTGCCACAGTTCTCCAGACACTGGTAGCTCCCAGGATCAAAGAACACTTTGGAGGAAAAGCTGTTGACAGACACCTCGGAGCAGAGGTCGTGCTGGATGGCTCTCTTGGCCTGATCAGCGGCGTGCTTCTTCAGGACGTTACCTGCTCCGGTCATGATCCTGGTGGCCTGACAGCGGTAAAAGGCTCGACTCTTCTGTTGCTGGGTTAAAACTTGGTAATTAGCTAGCTCCATTAGTTGCTCCATCTCCTTCTCCGGATGCTTCTGTTTGAGCTCCTTTAGGATCCTGGTCATCTCTTTGCGGGCCTCCTCCTCATCCATCGCCTTCGCCTCAAACCCCGCCTCTCCGTCAAGCATCTCATCGCAATGGGAGTTCAGTATTTTACCGTCCATTTCAATGTCCACCTTTGTTGGAAGGTTTGGCTCTCCCTCAGTCTCGATAATCATTCCTTTCTGCTTCCCAACCCGGTATCGTTTGTACATGTACTTGTAGAAAAGGAGCCTGCGGTCCGCCACGTAAGCAAACCCAACACAAATGGGGAAGAAGAAGAGTGTCAGAAGCCCCTCCCATATCTCAACCACACCAGGTGAAAAGACCGCCAGAATCAGGTAAAGCCAGGTGTAGGCAAAGACGCTCCAGGCTGCGGTGACGAAGAAGACCCGCAGGTGCTTTACCTTCCTGGTCTCTCCCTCAGGGATGACAGACACACAAAGTCCGATGATGACGAACATGTTGAAGGCAGCGCTTCCTACGATGGTGTTGGGACCCAACTCGCCGGCGTTAAAGTTGTGACCACAGACTTCCACAACCGACAGGAGGATTTCAGGTGCAGAGGAACCCAGGGCCATCAGCGTCAGGTTGGACACCGTCTCATTCCAGATCCGAACTGTCGTGACGATCTTCTCACCGTTCGGTTTCTTGATGGTGATTTTTCTTTCCTGAGACGTGATCACTTCGATGGATGCCATGAAGCGATCGGCGATGATGGAGACACCCACGAACATATAGAACAAACCCACAAAGTAGATGGTGGCTCTAGCCAGGCGGTCAGTGAAGACCGGATTCTCCGGTTTCCACACTGGCAGGATGACGCCCTCGATGCAGTTGGTGCTGCCGCCACATTTGGTCCGGTTGCTGATGGTGGTGTTGGACTCGAGGTCTGGAGCAGAGTGCCCTGCCTTTGAAGCTGGTAAGTCCAGGGAGAAGATGGTCATGAAGAAAAGCAGCTGATAGGTGGAAAACGGCAACAACGTCCCAGTTCGACTCATGGTGACGCTTCAGCTCCTCTCACCCTGCAACACATAAAAACAGCCTTCAGCATCTCACCTTCTGTCCTTTCATGTCTGGAATGAGTTTCATTCCTTCCTCTGAACCAAACTGCGCTGAAGTATTTCCTGTTACGGAGCAGCTTTGTTCTCGCTCCCTGAAGCTTAACCAGATCACCTTCTGTATGGAAGCGTGCTTCTTTGGATGAGGAAACATTTCCAGACTGTTTAGACTCTTTGTGCAGCTCAGGTCTGAGTCTGGCTGGATCTGGCTTTTCACAGACTCTCTGGCATTCTCTGCTCCAACTGGGTGACCATGACCCCAGCTCACCTGATGTGGGACAACGACTACACAGGTGTGGGGCAATATGAGATTTCAATGCATCAAGGTCACGTAAACGTAGTTGTCTTCCTTCTAGCTCTAACTTCACTGTTAAATAACAAAAATATATATTTATATGCAACTTTCTTGAGATCTTTGACAGAAGCAAACAGCAGAAGCTTTCTTACTATTTCACAGTGCCTCGGGACCGTGTCTGCTTCGGCCAAACAGCTCTACCTTCTTTGCAGTAGCAGCATTTTCATTTCCAGGCTACTCCAGAGGGGGGCGCTCTGGATCGCCATTAAGTCCCACCTCCTAGTTTGATTGACAGCCCTGACTGCTTTTGCTGCACGATCAGATTTTAGATGCCAGATTTAAACACGCAACATGAGTCCGTTATGAACAAATCAATGGAAACGCAGGATTGTCCCGCACTAAATTGGACATCTGGTCTTCCTGACTGAATACTTTAATTGAACTTTGAACTTCCTGTCATGAACGTGCGAGACTGCTTGAGGAGGTAGTGACACATCACACTCCATCAACCAGAGCTCCGGAGTACCTCAGGGATGTGTGTTCATTCCTGCTGACTCATGACCAGCATCATGGGGACATCTAACCGAGCTGAGGCTGTGACATCAGCATGATGGTGTGCAGGCATCAGAAGATCTACCAACATCTGCACGATGCCGATTTCTCATTCCCCACCCCAACTCCAAGCATCTCTCCTAGACTCTCACCACATATCCTGTTGGTAAAGTTTGTCTGATGTCTATCCCCTTCATCAGAGCAGCCTGCGTCACTTCCTGCTGTGATAACCTGAACATCTTACAACTAGTGTTGAGAAAGCTTGAGAGTCATCAGGTTATGTAGAAGATGACAACAAAGCTGGATCCAGAGATCCGTGGATGAGGAGTGTTAGGGTGATTCTTCATCTCTGGAGAGAAGACACGTGTGAAGGTGGGACGGAGGACCAGGACAAGCCTTCTGCATCTCGTTTATTGGGACAAATTAAACTAAAATGGCCTGTAATTGATATAGCCCCCCCCCCCCAAGGTGCTTTACAACACAACCAGTTATTAACCCATTCACACACTGGTGGTAATGAGCTACGATGTAGCCACAGCTGCACTGGGGCGCACTGAGGCTGCCGAGCTCTGGCGCCACCGGTCCCTCCAACCACCACCAGCAGGCAACGTGGTTTAAGTGTCTTGCCCAAGGACACAACGACAGCGACAGACTGAGCAGGGCTTGAACCTGCAACCTTCCAATCACGAGGCGAGCGCTTAACTCCTGTGCCACCGTCGCCCCGAAACTAAATTAACTAAATGTACAGGAAAAATACTACACATTGATGATTTTTGATTTTAATGTTTCTCCTGAAACTCAAAATTTCCTTCAGGTATAAAATAAATAAATTCTTACAGTTTTTTATTCAAAATGGTCATTTTAGTTTAATTTTTCTTATTATCTCAGCATTATAGAATAGAATAGAATAGAATAGTTATTGCAATCCACACAAAAAATCAGATTTGCAGCTCAAACTAGACAGAGAAAAATTAAATATTCAAATTGTAAACCACACTAAGATCCATTAATTGTAAAAGATTTTCGTTAAGATGAGATAAAGTTCAAAACTGCAATGACTGAGTTGTTCAAAGTCTGAGAATCAAACTAAGACTCTAGAATCATTTCTGCTGTTTGTCCGTATTTTTACAGAATTTACAGGTAGAGCGTGTTCATGATGATGGTTTTATCTGCAGAAACACGTCTATATTCATCAGTAAATGCTTTGATCTTAATAATACTGCTGCTGAAGTACTGGTCTTAAAATACAAAGATAATACTTCAGAGGAAAAAGCAGACTATGGGAGACAAACGAGGAACCTACCGTCTAAAACTCTTTGTGTCGGAGAAGAGGAAAAAAATCATTGAGGAAACTTTTGTTTCCTGAATCAGAATTTCTGCAAAATCCCTGAAGCGGAAAAAAAAGGAAACTTTTGTCCTTGAGCAGAAAAATCAGAATCTCAGCAGACTGAAGACGATCAGACGCTGCAGCTCTGAGAGCAGCCCTCCCCCCTCCCTCGATGCTCCCCCCACCTCCTGAGCCATGATGGTGTTTAACAGGCAGCACATAGTCGTGAAAGCCCCAAACAGCATGTTTAAATGCATTTGAAAACCCTTTTGTGATGTTTGTTTGTAAACATCTTCATGAACAGAAAACCACAGCTTATACAGGTGCTGGCCAGTAAATTAGAATATCATCAAAAGGTTGAAAATATTTCAGTAATTCCATTCAAAACGTGAAACTTGTACATTATATTCATGCAATGCACACAGACCAATGTATTTCCAATGTTTATTACGTTTAATTTTGATATTTATAGGTGACAACCAATGAAAACATCAAATCTGGTATCTCAGACAATTAGAATATTCTAAAGGCCAATGAAAAAATGTTTGTTTCTCTAATGTTGGCCAACTGAAAAGAATGAACATGAAAAGAATGTGCATGTATAGCACTCAATACTTAGTCGGGGCTCCTTTTGCCTCAATAACTGCAGTAATGCGGCGTGGCATGGACTCGATCAGTCTGTGGCACTGCTCAGGTGTTATGAGAGCCCAGGTTGCTCTGATAGTCGTCTTCAGCTCCTCTGCATTGTTGGGTCTAGCGTATTGCATCCTCCGCTTCACAATACCCCATAGATTTTCTATGGGGTTAAGGTCAGGCGAGTTTGCTGGCCAATCAAGGACAGGGATACCATGGTCCTTGAACCAGGTGCTGGTGGTTTTGGCACTGTGTGCAGGTGCCAAGTCCTGTTGAAAGGTGAAGTCTGCATCCCCATAAAGTTGGTCAGCAGCAGGAAGCATGAAGTGCTCTAAAACTTCCTGGTAGACGGCTGCATTGACCCTGGACCTCAGGAAACAGAGTGGGCCAACACCGGCAGATGACATGGCACCCCACACCATCACTGACGGTGGAAACTTTACACTGGACCTCATGCAACGTGGATTCTGTGCTTCTCCGCTCTTCCTCCAGACTCTGGGTCCTTGATTTCCAAAGGAAATGCAGAACTTGCTTTCATCAGAAAACATAACTTTGGACCACTCAGCATCAGTCCAGTCCTTTTTGTCCTTGGCCCAGGCGAGACGCTTCTTGCGCTGTTTCTTGTTCAAGAGTGGCTTGACACACGGAATGCGACACCTGAATCCCATGTCTTTCATGAGTCTCCTCGTGGTGGTTCTTGAAGCGCTGACTCCAGCTGCAGTCCACTCTTTGTGGATCTCCCCCACATTTTTGAATGGGTTTGTCGTCACAATTCTCTGCAGGGTGCGGTTATCCCTAGAGCTTGTACACTTTTTTCTACCACATTTTTTCCGTCCCTTCGCCTGTCTGTTAATGTGCTTGGACACAGAGCTCTGCGAACAGCCAGCTTCTTTAGCAATCACCTTTTGTGTCTTGCCCTCCTTGTGCAAGGTGTCAATGATTGTCTTTTGGACAGCTGTTAAGTCAGAAGTCTTCCCCATGATTGTGGTGCCTTCAAAACAAGACTGAGGGACCTTTTAAAGGCCTTTGCAGGTGTTTTGAGTAAATCAGCTGATTAGAGTGGCAGCAGGTGTCTTCTATATTCAGCCTTTTCAGAATATTCTAATTTTTTGAGATACCAAATTTGGAGTTTTCATTAGTTGTCACTTATGAATATCAAATTTAAATGTAATGAACATTGGAAATACATTGGTCTGTGTGCATTGCATGAATATAATGTACAAGTTTCACGTTTTGAATGGAATTACTGAAATATTTTCAACCTTTTGATGATATTCTAATTTACTGGCCAGCACCTGTAAAATCTGGAATCTTGAAGCTTGAACCAGAACCTGCATCAAGCCCAGTGCAGGTCTGGGTTTGATGCATCAGGAGATCGTAGATCTGTCGCTAGATGGGTTAAAGTGAAGAAGTTCATCATTGTCTAATTAACTTTACTGAATCACTGAAATAAAATCATTAAACCCAGAGTCACTATAGAGGCTGAGGATGGGTCCAGGTCTATTTTCAACTCTAATTTCCCTCTGGGATCAATAAAGTATTGATTGACTGATTGATTGATTGATTTGATATGCTGTCAGCTTCTCCTTAACTCACAGAGAGATGGAATGCGTTTCTCCGTTTATTAAAGCCTTTTACTGTTACAGGTGGCTTTAACTTAATCAACAAAAACTACGGCTACCCAGCCCTCCATCTGTCAAATAACCAGGTGACAGACTGACAGCTCCTTTTGATTGATGGCTTGCACCCATGTGACCCCTGTTGCATCACCATGACAACAAATAGGGAAATAAAATTAAAACCCAGTGATCAACTCACCCAAGAAATATATTTAACTACGGCTCCTACACCATCGAACACAACCATCTTATGTTAACACAACCACTGAACAACGTTAACGCAACCATTGAATGTTAATACAACCATCTTATGTTAACACAACCATCGAACAACGTTAACACAACCATCTTATGTTAACACAACCATCGAACAATGTTAACACAACCATCTTATGTTAACACAACCATTGAATGTTAATACAACCATCTTATGTTAACACAACCATTGAATGTTAATACAACCATCTTATGTTAACACAACCATCGAACAACGTTAACACAACCATCTTATGTTAACACAACCATCGAACAATGTTAACACAACCATCTTATGTTAACACAACCATTGAATGTTAATACAACCATCTTATGTTAACACAACCATCGAACAATGTTAACACAACCATCTTATGTTAACACAACCATTGAATGTTAATACAACCATCTTATGTTAACACAACCATCGAACAACGTTAACACAACCATCTGATGTTAACACAACCATTGAATGTTAATACAACCATCTTATGTTAACACAACCATCGAACGTTAACACAACCATCGAACGTTAACACAACCATTGAATGTTAACACAACCATCTTATGTTAATTCAACCATCGAACAACGCTAACGCAACCATCTTATGTTAACACAACCATCGAACGTTAACACAACCATTGAATGTTAACACAACCATCTTATGTTAATTCAACCATCGAACAACGCTAACGCAACCATCTTATGTTAACACAACCATCGAACAACGTTAACACAACCATCGAACGTTAACACAACCATTGAATGTTAACACAACCATTGAATGTTAACACAACCATCTTATGTTATTTCAACCATCGAACAACGCTAACGCAACCATCGAACAATGTTAACGCAACCATCGAACGTTAATACAACCATCTTATGTTAACACAACCATTGAATGTTAATACAACCATCTTATGTTAACACAACCATTGAACGTTAACACAACCATCGAACGTTAACACAACCATCGAACAACGTTAACGCAACCATCGAACGTTAACACAACCATCGAACAACGTTAACGCAACCATCGAACGTTAACACAACCATTGAATGTTAATACAACCATCTTATGTTAACACAACCATTGAATGTTAATACAACCATCTTATGTTAACACAACCATCGAACAACGTTAACGCAACCATCGAACGTTAACACAACCATCGAACAACGTTAACGCAACCATCGAACGTTAACACAACCATCGAACAACGTTAACGCAACCATCGAACGTTAACACAACCATCGAACAACGTTAACACAACCATCGAACGTTAACACAACCATCGAACAACGTTAACGCAACCATCGAACAATGTTAACACAACCATCGAACGTTAACACAACCATCGAACAATGTTAACGCAACCATCGAACGTTAATACAACCATCGAACAATGTTAACGCAGCCATCGAACGTTAACACAACCATCGAACAACGTTAACGCAACCATCGAACAATGTTAACGCAACCATCGAACGTTAACACAACCATCGAACAACGTTAACGCAACCATCGAACAATGTTAACGCAACCATCGAACGTTAACACAACCATCGAACAATGTTAACGCAATCATCGAACGTTAACACAACCATCGAACAACGTTAACGCAACCATCGAACAATGTTAACGCAACCATCGAACGTTAACACAACCATCGAACAACGTTAACGCAACCATCGAACAATGTTAACGCAACCATCGAACGTTAACACAACCATCGAACAATGTTAACGCAACCATCGAACGTTAACACAACCATCGAACAATGTTAACGCAGCCATCGAACGTTAACACAACCATCGAACAACGTTAACGCAACCATCGAACAATGTTAACGCAACCATCGAACGTTAACACAACCATCGAACAACGTTAACGCAACCATCGAACAATGTTAACTCAAGCATCGAACGTTAACACAACCATCGAACAACGCTAACGCAACCATTTTATGTTAACACAACCATCGAACGTTAACACAACCATTGAATGTTAATACAACCATCTTATGTTAACACAACCATCGAACGTTAACACAACCATTGAATGTTAATACAACCATCTTATGTTAACACAACCATTGAATGTTAATACAACCATCTTATGTTAACACAACCATCGAACAACGCTAACGCAACCATCTTATGTTAACACAACCATCGAACGTTAACACAACCATTGAATGTTAATACAACCATCTTATGTTAACACAACCATTGAATGTTAATACAACCATCTTATGTTAACACAACCATCGAACAACGCTAACGCAACCATCTTATGTTAACACAACCATCGAACAATGCTAACGCAACCATCTTATGTTAACACAACCATTGAATGTTAATACAACCATCTTATGTTAAGACAACCATCGAACAACGCTAACGCAACCATCTTATGTTAACACAACCATCGAACGTTAACACAACCATTGAATGTTAATACAACCATCTTATGTTAACACAACCATTGAATGTTAATACAACCATCTTATGTTAACACAACCATCGAACGTTAACACAACCATTGAATGTTAATACAACCATCTTATGTTAACACAACCATTGAATGTTAATACAACCATCTTATGTTAACACAACCATCGAACAACGCTAACGCAACCATCTTATGTTAACACAACCATCGAACGTTAACACAACCATTGAATGTTAATACAACCATCTTATGTTAACACAACCATTGAATGTTAATACAACCATCTTATGTTAACACAACCATCGAACGTTAACACAACCATTGAATGTTAATACAACCATCTTATGTTAACGCAACCATTGAATGTTAATACAACCATCTTATGTTAACACAACCATCGAACAACGCTAACGCAACCATCTTATGTTAACACAACCATCGAACGTTAACACAACCATTGAATGTTAATACAACCATCTTATGTTAACACAACCATTGAATGTTAATACAACCATCTTATGTTAACACAACCATCGAACAACGTTAACGCAACCATCGAACGTTAACACAACCATCGAACAACGTTAACGCAACCATCGAACGTTAACACAACCATCGAACAACGTTAACGCAACCATCGAACGTTAACACAACCATCGAACAACGTTAACACAACCATCGAACGTTAACACAACCATCGAACAACGTTAACGCAACCATCGAACAATGTTAACGCAACCATCGAACGTTAACACAACCATCGAACAATGTTAACGCAACCATCGAACGTTAACACAACCATCGAACAATGTTAACGCAGCCATCGAACGTTAACACAACCATCGAACAACGTTAACGCAACCATCGAACAATGTTAACGCAACCATCGAACGTTAACACAACCATCGAACAACGTTAACGCAACCATCGAACAATGTTAACGCAACCATCGAACGTTAACACAACCATCGAACAATGTTAACGCAATCATCGAACGTTAACACAACCATCGAACAACGTTAACGCAACCATCGAACAATGTTAACGCAACCATCGAACGTTAACACAACCATCGAACAACGTTAACGCAACCATCGAACAATGTTAACGCAACCATCGAACGTTAACACAACCATCGAACAACGCTAACGCAACCATTTTATGTTAACACAACCATCGAACGTTAACACAACCATTGAATGTTAATACAACCATCTTATGTTAACACAACCATCGAACGTTAACACAACCATTGAATGTTAATACAACCATCTTATGTTAACACAACCATTGAATGTTAATACAACCATCTTATGTTAACACAACCATCGAACAACGCTAACGCAACCATCTTATGTTAACACAACCATCGAACGTTAACACAACCATTGAATGTTAATACAACCATCTTATGTTAACACAACCATTGAATGTTAATACAACCATCTTATGTTAACACAACCATCGAACGTTAACACAACCATTGAATGTTAATACAACCATCTTATGTTAACACAACCATTGAATGTTAATACAACCATCTTATGTTAACACAACCATCGAACAACGCTAACGCAACCATCTTATGTTAACACAACCATCGAACGTTAACACAACCATTGAATGTTAATACAACCATCTTATGTTAACACAACCATTGAATGTTAATACAACCATCTTATGTTAACACAACCATCGAACGTTAACACAACCATTGAATGTTAATACAACCATCTTATGTTAACGCAACCATTGAATGTTAATACAACCATCTTATGTTAACACAACCATCGAACAACGCTAACGCAACCATCTTATGTTAACACAACCATCGAACGTTAACACAACCATTGAATGTTAATACAACCATCTTATGTTAACACAACCATTGAATGTTAATACAACCATCTTATGTTAACACAACCATCGAACAACGCTAACGCAACCATCTTATGTTAACACAACCATCGAACAACGCTAACGCAACCATCTTATGTTAACACAACCATCGAACGTTAACACAACCATTGAATGTTAATACAACCATCTTATGTTAACACAACCATTGAATGTTAATACAACCATCTTATGTTAACACAACCATCGAACAACGCTAACGCAACCATCTTATGTTAATTCAACCATCGAACAACGCTAACGCAACCATCTTATGTTAACACAACCATCGAACGTTAATACAACCATCTTATGTTAACACAACCATCGAACAACGCTAACGCAACCATCTTATGTTAATTCAACCATCGAACAATGCTAACGCAACCATCTTATGTTAACACAACCATCGAACAACGCTAACGCAACCATCTTATGTTAACACAACCATCAAACGTTAACACAACCATTGAATGTTAATACAACCATCTTATGTTAACACAACCATTGAATGTTAATACAACCATCGAACGTTAATACAACCATCTTATGTTAACACAACCATCGAACAACGCTAACGCAACCATCTTATGTTAACACAACCATCGAACGTTAATACAACCATCGAACGTTAACAACCATCTTATGTTAACACAACCATCGAACAACGCTAACGCAACCATCGAACGTTAACACAACCATTGAATGTTAATACAACCATCTTATGTTAACACAACCATTGAATGTTAATACAACCATCTTATGTTAACAACCATCGAACAACGCTAACGCAACCATCTTATGTTAACACAACCATCGAACGTTAACACAACCATTGAATGTTAATACAACCATCTTATGTTAACACAACCATCGAACAACGCTAACGCAACCATCTTATGTTAACACAACCATCGAACGTTAATACAACCATCTTATGTTAACACAACCATCGAACAACGCTAACGCAACCATCTTATGTTAATTCAACCATCGAACAATGCTAACGCAACCATCTTATGTTAACACAACCATCGACTGTTAACACAACCATTGAATGTTAATACAACCATCTTATGTTAACACAACCATTGAATGTTAATACAACCATCGAACGTTAATACAACCATCTTATGTTAACACAACCATCGACTGTTAACACAACCATTGAATGTTAATACAACCATCTTATGTTAACACAACCATCGAACAACGCTAACGCAACCATCTTATGTTAACACAACCATCGAACAACGCTAACGCAACCATCTTATGTTAACACAACCATCGAACAACGCTAACGCAACCATCTTATGTTAACACAACCATCGAACGTTAACACAACCATTGAATGTTAACACAACCATCGAACGTTAATACAACCATCGAACGTTAATACAACCATCTTATGTTAACACAACCATCGAACAACGCTAACGCAACCATCTTATGTTAACACAACCATTGAATGTTAACACAACCATTGAATGTTAACGCAACCATCGAACGTTAATACAACCATCGAACGTTAATACAACCATCTTATGTTAACACAACCATCGAACAACGCTAACGCAACCATCTTATGTTAACACAACCATCGAACAACGTTAACGCAACCATCGAACGTTAATACAACCATCTTATGTTAATTCAACCATCTTATGTTAACACAACCATCGAACAACGTTAACGCAACCATTGAACGTTAATACAACCATCTTATGTTAATTCAACCACCTTATGTTAACACAACCATCGAACAACGTTAACTCAGCCATCGAACAATGTTAACGCAACCGTTGAACGTTAATACAACCATCTTATGTTAATTCAACCATCGAACAACGCTAACGCAACCATCTTATGTTAACACAACCATCGAACGTTAACACAACTATCGAACAATATTAACACAACTATTGAACGTTAACACAACCATCGAACGTTAACACAACCATTGAACGTTAACTCAGCCATCCTAATAAGGAAACCTTCAGCTGAGCAAACGTGACTTTCTGCAGACTGAACGGGCTCTTTTGGCTCTTCTTACTCACCTCTGGTCCTGATGCAGCTGCAGTAGAAGAAGAGAGTGTGTGGAGCAGAGGGAGCTGTGTCTGATAACTGCTCTATATTTAACAGAAACATCTTGCTGGTCACATTGTGTCCTGTGTGCTGCTTATCTCCTCTCCAGTGGGCTTTGGCCATACAAGGTTCTGTGGTCCGGGCTGGTCCAGCAGCTCCTCGTCCTCACCCACACGTGGGGGAGATAAGGACCAACATCTAACAGCAGGCCGTGACGCCAGCATCTCACAGAGGGACAGGAATCCTGAGTTAAGTGTCTTTGACACCCTCACCACTTCACCCCATTCCATGTGAACAAGGTGACATCCAGAATTCTGGAGATCAGCTCCTGAACAGGCCTTCAGAATCACCTGAGACAACCTGATGGAAAGGAACAGGTAAAAGTGGTGACACTGGGTCATGTGACTCATCTGTAATGTTGTTTATCACCTGTTATGATCAGAGTCAGAGGAATCATGAAAAATGTGATGTCTTCTTCGGTTTGTGACGGTGTTAGGGTGTGGCGTGTTAGCATGTGGCACATTAGCATGTTAGCTTGTGGCGCATTTGCACATGTGGGCCTGTAGCTGCAGGTGGATGTTAAACTGTGGCCTTTTGTCTGCTGGGGTGGACATGTGACACGTATCGGCGGATATAAAGGGTGCCACTAAAATTTAAGAGAATAAAGTAGATTTTAAAACCGAGGCAAGCAGCGCAATCACAAAAGCAAATTCAAAAACAGAATTTATTCTAAAAGCTCATATTATGATGCCCAAGATGACCCCCACAATAAAGTCTACTGGGCCCCCAGAGGATAAGGCAGTCCAGTCCGCCCCTGCATGCGCTTGACAGGTGAAACCTCTACGACCCCGCCCTCCTGCGGTGAACGTCGTCCGCGGGGATCCACAGGCTGGACGGCCGGTGGATTCAATCCTCCTCCTCGGTCCCTGTGGCACACAAAAACCTCCGGCAGTCAAAGGCCCCACAGCAACTCCAACCACTGCCAGGCACTGATCAAATACTTACTCGCAGGGGCAGATACTCTGCCCGCCTGCCGTGTTCCGCCCCGTGCCTGGCCCTCCGGCCGCGGATCCCTCTTTCTCCGCCGCTGCTACTGACGTGCCGCTGGTGAACCCCCTCCTCGGTCCAAGACCCCAACCGGACTCAGTGGCACCTGTACGCGCGCCGCACATGTGTGGAGGGAGGGACACCCACGCTCCTCCGCACTCGGCCGCCGTCCATCATCCAGGACCGTACGGGTGCTCCTCTGTTCCGGCGGGGAGGGGGGGGGGGGCAGGCACTTGCGTCCTCAAGACGCCGTCCGGGGTGTGTCTCTGCCTCTAGCTGGCCCTGTCTGCCATCCTGGCCCTCTCTCTCTGTGTTCACGCGCTCCTCCCTTTAAATAAAACCTGTCCTGCCTGCGTCTGTCCATTAACTGGCAGTCCAGGAAACACTCTGCTACAGGTGTAGATGATCGGGGTGATTACAGAATGAACACACAATGTTGCACCAAAACAACTAAAAACACACCATCAATAAAAACGTGCACATCAGAATAAAAACAAGTAAAACATGCAATATAAAATAGAACATTAGCGCAACATCACCACCCTGTGACAGACATCTTCACCTCCACAGAAGGAGAAGGAGGAACCTGCTAACCAGAACCCAAAACCAGGATAAACAGGCTCAGTGAAGGTGGTGATGAAGGTATGGATGTGGAGCAGAGAGCCAGAGGACACTCTGTAGAAAGACAGAACCCCAGCTGGAAAGTCCAAATACACTGCTACTCTGTTAGAGGACGAGGAGGAGGACGAGGAGGAGGAGAGGACCGTCCTCTTCCCATCGTGCCAGGCGTAGTACTCTTCATCGTTGCAGCAGAAGATGCTCCAGGACTGACGATTCCACCCAAACCAGCAATCAGCGCTGGGTCCCTTCCTCCTGATTCCTCTGTAGCTGATGGCCACGTAGACACCTCCTCTCCACCAGACCTCCCAGAAACAGTGCCCAGTCAAACCATCAGAACACAGCAGCTGACAGGCCTGGAACCGGTTGGGGTGATCAGGGTACGGCTGCTTGGCCCTCACCCCCACCACCCTACGGTTATTCTCACACAGCCACATCTTCCTGCTCACAGTGCTCAGGTCTATAGTGAGGTGACAGAAATCTGGTGGAAAGAAAAACACACATAAAAGAACAGATTCTGACCCAGTGACAGGGGCGTATCCAGGGGGTGGTCTGGGGTAGCACATGTCACCTTTGGAATCTGATTGGCCACCCCACTGAATTCCCTTTAAATGGACTTGTCCACAAAAAGCTTGGGGTAAAAAAGAATGGTGCCACCCATGCACAAAGAAGTGCACTACTTGGGCCACCCCATTTTAAAAGATCTGGCTACGCCACTGCCCAGTGACCCTCTTAAATTCACGGCTCAAGGGTTTGGTGAAAAGCAAAGCCTCTTTCCTCAGAAAAGTCAGGGTCTTTCACGTTCCTTTACCATTATCGTCAGTCTAGCGAACATGCTAGCATACCGCAGCGTAGAGCTCGCTCACAACAGTCACATCAGAACAAGGACCTTCTGAGTCTGGCTAAAGGAAACTCCGATTTTCCTCTAATGTTGTTTACAACTCCATCGTTTTTTCCTGGTTTTCACATTTTCACATTAGCTCCTCTGCCGTAGCGGCCACTAGTGGACAGTGAGTGATACTGCAGAACAAAGATGTTCTAGTCCCCCCTCTCTGAAGCCTCTCCATGTAGGAAAAATAGGGATCTGAGGATAGCTGCATGTGTTAATTATTATGGGCTGTTCTGATGTTGTGTTTCAATAAACCAAGATAAAAACTACATGACGACGTGACATTTGGGTTTCCTGATAAACCAGGTTGGAACAGCAGAAGCACAAGTGTTTCGAGAGGTTGATTGTGAGGTCAGGGTTACTCACACTTCCTCAGTCCAGGTACCATCCTCTGCTCGCCCCCGTGCTCCAGTCTGAGTAAGAGAGATGGTTTGAATTAATCCTCACAGGCTTCTGTACCACACAGCTTTATTTAAACCCACAGGACAAACGTGTTTACCTGAGAAGGTTCAGTCTCCAACGAGGATCCTGTAATCCAGCAGAAAGCAGCTGCATTCCTTCTTGTCCTGGGTGATTGTAACTCAAGTCCAGTTCTCTTAAATGGTGGGGGTTAATGGTCAGAGCGGAAACCAGAGAAGAGCAGCCTTCCTTTGTGATCATGCAGCCTGGAAGCCTACAGACAAGCATGTTGCTGCCATGTTTACTGCTTCAACTGAATCCGAAGAAAATGAATTAAGCCTGCTTTGAGCGTCACACATCGAACCTGAGAACTTCTAGTCTGCAGATGGGATTCTCCAGTCCGGCAGACAACACTTTGAGTCCTGAATCCCGAAGGTCATTGTTACTCAGGTCCAGGTCTCTCAGGCAGGATGTCGGAGAGCTGAGAACTGGTCCCAGAGCGTCACAGCTTCTCTCTGACAGGTTACAATCATTGAGCCTGAAGGAAAAGAGAAAACAACAGTTTGGATTTTCTACCACATCAAACATCTCACTTGATCTTAGCGCCGCCTCCAGCATCTCAGCTTCGTTCATCTCATCCTGCGCCATCTAAGGACTGATCTAATGAGAGCAGCACAAACACACCCAGGAAGTTCTGCTGGAGTTGCTAATGCTAACGGTTAGCTTCTACCAGGCGAGATGCGCTCTGCTCTCTCCTTCCTGTGGGCTGTCCCAAGCCTATGTGGGCCCGCCCATGAATACAAATGTTTCTTGTGATGTAGAAGAGACTGGCTTTTTCTGAGAGTTTCCCTTTCAGCCAATGCAGGCGTTGGTAGCTGGAGAGCATTTTCATGTAGAACCAAGCCCCCACAATGCGGCTCAGAAATTGGTCCCAACCCGGAAGTACAAAAAATTGCAGTTCCACCCTCATCCACTAGGGGCTGGTGTCAGAAGCGAGCAAATCCTCATTGACTCTCATGTTAAAAATACCAATTTCACAGCAGAAATAAACATGTTTACAGCCTGGTACCAAAACATGTTTTAGGTTTAAATGATCTAGTTTACACTCATGACAACTCTGAGGGGGGTGAATGTTTTTCTCACTCTTCTGTTTAAGTGTATTAAAAGCCTAAAATTCTGTATAATTAATGAGCATCAGACCCACGTGACCACAGAGCTAGCTCCGTGGAAAGGCCTCAGTAGAGCCTCGGTCTGGCCTGGAAACTGCTCCGGGATTTTGAGTCTCTGTGTTTGTGTATTCTTGTTTGGATATTTTTGTGCAATTGTTGGACAAAATGACTTGCTGTGGCATTAATTGCACTAATAGAGCGTCCAAGGAGTCTCCACTTCATTATTTTCGGTAAGTAAAATTATATTTATGTATTTTAGGTCACTGCCGAGCTGAGCTTAGATTTTAACATGTACTGTTTAACCATGAAATGTAAATGTAATAGGGTAAAACCCAGTGCATTTAACATAATGTTGCACTTTAGAAGATGGGTTGAAATATAACATGTTGGTGGAGCTGGGTTCCCACTATCGGCTTGTGGAGGTCTCGGAGACCTCTGTGTTCCACCCGGTTTTACCCAGCGGTCAGCCCGACGTATCTCTGACTCAGAAGCTCTGGTGTTGTGCACAGTTAACTCCGGTTGTAGCTAGGTTGCTACCTCCGTTAGCTTAGCTCCCACCTCCGCGTTAGCTTTGGGTTAGCTTCAGGTTAGCTTGTAGCTAGTTCGACCGGGTGTCGTCAGTTGATCCCAGCCTTACAGCCCCTCCCTCAGCTCCACCTCTCTTCCCTTTTGTGGAATTGTCTGGGCTTGACGGAACCTGTGACACGGTCAAAATGGCGGTGGTGGCCACCTCCTATTTGGCCTCAAAAACGTGTTAATGGAGTCTATGGTAACCCATTGTCCAATATTTATATGTCGATGTGTAGAACTCAGTTTTACAGAAATATCAATTCTACACGGTTTCTATGGGAACGGGGCCTTTAACAGATGACATTTTTGCTAATCTTAGAGAACAAAGTCTTCTAAATCTCACATTTTTACCAACATATTTGTAAACTACACATCAAAGAGTAGAATATTACCTGCATCTGCTGGCCCCTCCCCCTCTCCTTTCCCACAAGAAGGCAGGAAAAATTGGCCCTCTGATTGGCTAATGGGCCATTCCCATCTGTACCGGGTCGGCCCGGGCCGGGTAGCCCCAGTCGGCCCCAGCCTGGCCCGGTTGATTCCACACATCCTTGTCTTAAGCCCATGTGGGCTGATTCTACCCACCAATCAGAGGCTTGCTCTAATGGAAGGTGTGAATTTGCTGTCAGCAGTGGGTGTGTTGGCCCTGGTCGGCCTGAAGCAGACCCCCTCGAGAAGAGGGCTGAGAATGAGCCTTGGTTGGCCCGGAAAAATACCAGGCCACCCAGATATGTAAACAACCTACGCTACCCGGCCCGGGCCGACCCGGTACAGATGGGAACGGCCCATAAGAGAATGCACCAGCTGCTTCTTTGGTTCTGGTTCTGGACTGATTATTTGTTTTGTTTTTAAAGTTCAAAATCACCTCCTTCTTGATTCTCCTGTCTCCTCTGACTGAGGTAGGACCGTTTTAATGTCCGTGTCATATCAGGGCTGAATAGAGTGAGAGGGGCGGGGCCTAAACCAGACACTTGGACTTCAATCACAGTGGCAGGCAATTTACATTCTTATTCACAATTTTATCACAGAAGATTTTGCTCGCTTGGACTGAAGCAGGAAGACTTAAAGAGCAAGTCACCCCCTACCAGAGTCTAACTCCACTCCCACTTCATGTTTGAAAAATGCAACAAATGCTGTTGCCTGGCAGACCGAGAGGGCGGAGCCGCTAACAAATACACACACACTCAGGCTCACGACAGCATTGTGACATCATAATGTACCAGTTTACATCATAGCATACCTCTTAGCCAATAGCGGTGGCAGATTTAAATTCAAATGCAGTGCAGAGTTTTTACCTGACAACGGCACAACACTGCCAGTTTTAGGCAGAATATTTAAATTTGAACTAAGATGCACTGAAGTGCCAAATTATTGACGACACGTGTCTGCAGCACGATTAGACACTCGTTTATTTAGTTCATCAGCAAAAAAAGTTTATTTGGGGGAGACTTGCTCTTTAAATGTGAAGTGATGGTAATCCCTGGGTGTTCACTTCCTGGAGGCGATGGCTAAAGAAAGGCTGCTGCTGCAGCCAACTAGAACCAAAGCTGCTGGTGCAATTCCAGGTGTTGTGTTATTCAGAGCAAGTCACCCCCAAATAAACATTTTTTTTGCTGATAAACTAAATAAACGAGGGTCTAATCGTGCTGCAGACATGTGTCATCAATAATATGGCACTTTAGTGCATTTTAGTTCAAATTTAATTTTCTGCCTAAAACTGTCAGTGTTGTGCCGTTGTCAGGTAAAAACTCTGCACTGTATTTTAATTTAAATCTGCCACCGCTATTGGCTAAGAAGTATGCTATGATGTAAACTGGTACATTATGATGTCACAGTGCTGTCATGAGCCTGAGTGTGTGTGTATTTGTTAGCAGCTCCGCCCTCTCGGTCTGCCAGGCAACAGCATTTGTTGCATTTTTCAAACAGGAAGTGGGAGTGGAGTTAGACTCTGGTAGGGGTTGACTTGCTCTTTAAGGTAGCTACATATTTTATTTTGGCCTCAAACCTGCACATATCTGACTAAAGACCACAGACGTGAGCTGATGCACCTACAGTGCTCTGCTGGAGGCTCGGACCACCGGCAGCAGCCTCACAAGAGCCTTCTCAGACGCTGAATATTTCCTCAGCTCAAACACATCCAGATCTCCTGATGACAGTAGGATGAAGACCAGAGCGGACCACTGAGCAGGAGACAGTGAATCCGTGGAGAGACTCCCAGAACTCAGGTACTGTTGGATCTCCTCCACTAGAGAACCATCATTCAGTTCGTTCAGGCAGTGGAACAGGTTGATGCTCTTCTCTGCAGACTGATTCTCACTGATCTTCATCTTGATGTAGCGGATTGTGTGTTCATTGGTCTCTGAGCTACTGGAGGTGAGGAAGTCCTTTAGTTTCTTCTGATTCGCCTGTAGAGACAGACCTAGAAAGAATCGCAGGAACAGGTCCAGGTGTCCATTTGGACTCTGTAGAGCCTTGTCGATGAAGATCCTGTGGATCTTCTTTGAAGATGTTCTGTTTAAAATCAGTTGGAGGTTTTTCAGGGACAGCTGAGGGAAGGTCATGAGGTTTTTGTTGCTGTTGAGCGACATTCTGACATAAATAGCAGCTAAAAACTCCTGAACACTTAGATGGACAAAACTGAACATCTTGTCTTTCTTTCTACGCTCCACCTTGAAGATCTCTGTGAAGACACCTGAGCATACTGAAGCTTCGTGGAAGTCCATGCCGCTCTGTCTAAGATCTGTCTCATAGAAGATCAGGTTGCCCTTGTCTAGCTGCTGAAAAGCCAGCTTAGCTAATGATCTGATGTAGTGAAAGCACCTGTCTGAGCCGTATTTCTCCTTGGTTCGATCAATCTGAAACACCAGGAACTCGGTGTACATCTCAGTCAGGGTCCTGGGCAGCTCTCCTGCTGCTCTGGTTTTCAGCACATCCTCCAGAACCGTTGCAGCGACCCAGCAGAAGACCGGGATGTGGCACATGATGTGGAGATTTCGGGAGGTCTTTATGTAGGAGATGATTTTGTTGGCCTGCTCTTCATCCCTAAATCTCTTCCTGAAGTACTCCTCCTTTTGAAGGTCAGTGAAGCCTCTGACCTCCATCGTCCTGCTGATGAACCTTCGAGGGATCTGATTGGCTGCTGCAGGCCGAGTGGTTATCCAGATGCGAGCGGAGCGGAGCAGTTTTCCATTGATGAGCTTCCTCACCAGGACATCAGCTGTAGCTGACTTTGTAACATCAGCAGAGCGAACGTCTTCATCACGAAGGTCCAGAAGGAGGCGGCTCTCATCCAGTCCATCAAACACAAACAGGAGTTTGAACCTGCTCTTGTCGTAGTTGCTGTTTCCTGATGACTGCAGAGTTCTGAAGATGTGATTAAGAGCTTCTTCTCTGATGTCCACTGTTTCTGGAATGCATTCGTGAACGAGCTCGCTCAGAGTGAACTTCTCTCCCGTCAGAAGGTTTAACTGGCGGAAGGTGAACGGAAACAGCAGATGGACGTCCTGATTGGACCTGTGTTCGGCCCAGTCCAACACAAACTTGTGCACGAGGATGGTTTTCCCAATTCCTGCGATTCCATAGGTCAGCACGGTCTTTATGGGTCTGTACCGTCCAGACTGATGTCTAAAGATGTCCCTGGGGTGGACTGGATTCTCCGGTTCTGCTGGCTGTGATGTCCTCTCGAGCTGTTGGATCTCGTGCTGCGTGTGGATGTGAACATGGCGCCCTGCTGTCATGCACAGGTCTGTGTAGAAATCAACCAGAGGCTGCTGATCGTCTGCCCAGCCCTCTGGAGCACACATGAACTTGTCCTGGAAGTTTGACTGAAGCTTCTGCTGGTAAAAGGTGATGGGCTGCAGCTCCGGAACCGGAACCATCACATCTGACACAAACAGGAAAACATTGGTTTTGACTTTCAACAGAAGGATGTGTTCAGGTTAGAAGCATTTTACCACGTTCATGTCTGCTTTGTGGCACCTGCACAACCTCCCAGCGTCTAACTGTGATGGCACCAGTCTGAACTGGGCCTGTTCAGAGGAAACCTGAACAATCAGACCAGTCAGGATGAAGGAACCTCTAACACACAAACAGAAACGCAGAGGTCATCTCTGCTGACCAGCTGGTCCAGACGAATCCAGTGGACGTACCTTCAGTCTGACGAAGAAGAGCCAGATGATGACAGGAGGAAGGATCTGCGCTGTTCAGCGGTTTCTCAACATCATCTCCATCCACTGACAGACAAATAAAAGGCATCAATCAACCTGCTGGAACATCACGCTTCTCCTCCCGTCACTGACCTTCTCGTTCCAAACTCTGTAGCAAGTCGTTCCTGTTGATCTTCTCTAGAACCATCCTGGTGACCTCCACAGCGCTCCGAAGCCTGTAGGTCTGAACCATCAGGTCCACGATGTCCAGCCTGCTGGCCGTCTGCAGCTGACACTTTTTAAAGTTTGGGAAACCTTCAAGGCTCTCGGGCTGCTGAAGGAACCACTTGAATTTATCAAGTTCTTCATCTCGCAAATCTTCCAGGATGTTCAGGAGGTCCTCTGTTGTCCTCATAGCTGAGAGTGAGAGGTTGTCTTTCGTAAAGGGACTTCTGTGTTTTAGATTTCTGGGCTTAACTTAAACTGAAGTTTAATCTCATTCAATTAATTCAGGATCAAATCCAGAATGACATCACCAACCACACACCCCACCCTGCTCGCTCCTGGACACACCTCCATCCCCCACACCGACCACACCCAGAGGAGCAGAGAGAACCGTTTTAACAGATCCACTCACCTGGTCTGCTGACGTCTTCAGGTGTTTCCTCAGGCTGAAGATAGCTGCATCTGCTCTAAGATCAGACCTGATTCCTCCCAAGAAAACGGCCCGTCGACAGGAACGACCGTGTTAAGAATGTTTTTCTACTTATTTAAAACTCAGAAATCTAAGTACAAATTTGTGAAGTGAAAAGATCAGGTTGTTGCGACCGTCTGTAAACGAACAGAAGGTAAAATCTCAGACTTACAGCATCGGGTCCGATCCCCTGAACCCAGATCTGTCCACCTGAAACGTTCCAGCAGCAAGACAGAAATGAAAAACCGCCAGAACCAACAGGAACTCTGCTCTAAAGAGGAACTACGCAGATTTCACCAAATTACAACAGGTCTGACGCAACCTCTTCTTGGGTGTTCAGTACTTTTAGGATATGTCCGTAACAAATGCAATGATGTAAGTAAAGTATTCATGAGATCTGCAATGTTCTAAAATGTACGCCACCAAAGATAACCAAAGAACAAGATCATGAACACAAGCAGCTGAGACGAGTTTCCTCTGCAGGGTGAGCCCTGGTGTAACGCCTCGTTTACAACAAGTCTGGAACGGATGCAGATCGGAATCTGGCAGCGTCCGAAAAGATGGAAAATCTTCTCCAATCAGAGCATTCACACTGGCTGCTGTACAGAGCCGGTCGAGATGTGGACTCTTTCTGCAAGAGCTCCCATGTTTCTGGACACCGCGTACGAATCGACAGTTTGGTGTAAGAATTGTAAACAAAAATGTTTTTCTGAAACACTAAAGAAAAACTCCAGACAACACAAATAAGAGTGGTGTGAGGTCAAAGAAAATTAGAACAAATAACCAGAAGATTTATATTTCATACACTCGTTGCTCTTCCTTTGCATCATTGCAGGTAAACCTGCATATGAAGTGGATGAAACCAGTCCTGACTGGATTCCAACGTTCCACATGGGTCATTCCGAAGTCTCTGCTTCAAAGTCAGACCGTCACGCACGACGACAGCAACGGGTGAAAATTAAAGGAGGAGGTAAACAACAATTTTACTTTTTCACACAGGGCAATGTAGGTTTGGATTATGTTCTCTCCCTAAATAATAAAAACAATCATTTCAAAAGTGCATTTTGTGTTTACGTGTGTCATCTTTGACTAAAGGTTAAATGTGTTTGATGATCAGAAACATTTTGTGGGACAAACACGCAAAAGAATAAGAAATCAGGAAGGGGGCAGATGGTTTCTCACACCACTGTATGCAAAGCTTTTTTGGGTCATTAGATGTGATCTGAGTAATGATCAGTAATCTATCGAACTCGTATGTTCCACAGATTTGCGAGTCACGCTCACCTGATGGGCTTCTGGAAGCAAATTGAGCCAGCTACCCTCGATATGACAAGAGCATCAAGTGTAGCGAGGACTGATCAGCTCCCTCACTCTGCCAGTGCAACGGTAAATGTTTTATTGTCGTTGTCCTTACAAAGCTTGTCATCATTTCCAAATTAAGCCATGAATCAACTACATTTTGATAGTCAGAATGAAGGTAAGACCCAGGACACGCTGGAGAGACTCTCTCGGCTGGCCAGGGAACGTCTGGGCCTCTCTGCTTAGGCTGCTGCCCCGCGACCTGACCCCGGATAAGAGGCTGAAAATGGATGGATGGTAATGTTTTTCATCTTTTCCAGGTTCTTCAACCAGTTGATGAGTTCTTCCTGTTTGTGATCTACCTGTCACGGGGACTCACACAAACGGATTTGGCCCACAGATTTAGAATATATCGGTCGACTGTTAGTCGCATTGTTAACACCTGGGCCAGCTTCCTTTATACTCTGTTAGGAGCTGTGAATATCTGGTTAGATGAAGACTCTGTGAAAGCTCACCTCCCAGATGTGTTCCAGGGTTACGTTGACACTCGGGTCATTTTAGATTGCACAGAACTGCGATGCCAAACCCCAAATTCCCTCCTCCTCCAGAGCGAGGTGTTTTCAAACTACAAACCGCACTGTACATTCAGAGGGTTGACTGGGATAGCCCCTCATGGTGCAGCGACATTTGTGTCTTCTCTTTATCAAGGTGCCACCAGTGATAAAGAGATCTTAAAGCAGTCAGGCATTGCGGCCCTCCTGAACCCATCAAAGGCCATCATGGTGGGCAAGGCTTTCCTTGTTGAAGACTGTGTTCCATGCAACGTCCACATACCCACGTTTCTGTCGCAGAGAGCTCAACTGTCAAGGCCAGAGATCAGAAAGACACGGTCCATTGTGAGACTGAGAGTCCATGTTGAGCGTGTGATTCGCAGGGTTAAAGAACACAAACTATTCAGCACCGTGATCCCCTTTTCAATCACAGGCGACATTAACCAACTCTTTGCTGTCGCCTGTCTTTTGGTGAATTATGAAATCTCCTCCTTAGAGATAGGGTGAGGAGCTCGGACATTCGGGAGGGACTCGGAGTAGAGCCGCTGCTCCTCCGCATCGAAAGGAGCCAGTTGAGGTGGTTTGGGCATCTGGTCAGGATGCCTCCTGGACGCCTCCCTGGGGAGGTGTTTCGGGCATGTCCTGCCGGCAGGAGGCCCCCGGGTCGACCCAGGACACGTTGGAGAGGTTACATCTCCAATCTGGTCCGGGAACGCCTTGGGGTCCTGCCGGAGGAGCTGGTGGAGGTGGCCGGGGAGAGGACGGTCTGGAGCTCCCTAGTTGGGATGCTGCCCCCGCGACCCGGAACCGGACAAGCGGAGGAAGACGACGGCGACGGTCCCTTGGTGAAAACCTGGGCAAGCAGTTGCTGAGCTCAATCCAGAATCAGACTGATAACATAATGTGAATGTATATAGTTCTCATTTGTGTAGTGAGTGACCTGCAAAATGTTTTCTCTAACCTCACAAGAATCCCTTCATGTCATAGCCTGCACTGTAAACATAGGATGTGATGTTAAGGTACAGTGTGATTAATTCATTAAATGAGTTTGTTTAGGTTTTGTAACGCATCTTTTTTTCATTCAGTAAGACAAACGTGGTTTCAGAGATGTTCTACCTGCCGACAGTTTCAACTGCATTTATTTCAGTCTTCCTCAGAGCCTCAGCCGACTTCTTGCTGTCGTGTCATTGGCTGGCTGGTAGCGCTGTCAGAGCTCACCACCAGAACAGCCTCCCTCCTGCCAGGAGCACTTGGTGGTGAGTTGTGATGGTGCGCCCAACTGAGGAAAGAGGAAAACGGGATAGACTGAGTGAGAACATGCACTTTGAAGAATAGCTGAGGTGGCCATTTTTTCCGCTTTGGATGACTAACAAACCCTCGTTTGTTTACAACAGACCAAATAACCTGCTAATGATTCCCACTCAGCTACTCAGCTGCATTTGGCTACCAACATCTTTCAAATGCTTTTCACATCAGATGAGATGTTCTGCACACAATCTGCAGTCTGTGTACGTGGCAGTCCGTCGAGATGCTGCACAGATTCCGGTCCACATTCATTCCGCACTTGGTGTAAATGAGGCTTAGGCTGAAGAGCTCAGACATCCACAAGAGTCCGAGTGGAGGCACCAAGATGAGCAGTGTTTCAGGCATGTCCTTCAGAGAGCTGACCCGGGACCCGGGATAGAGTCTACAGGTGAAACTGTAATGGTGCTAAAGTCCATTTATTTTAGTAGTTCAGCTTAGAGACCATCTGAGCGCTCAGGAACCATTTGCAGGTGTTATGGATTCATTAGCTGATTAGAATGTGACACTTTTAACCTAGAACCTTTTCACAGTGTTTTAATTGTCTGAGATATTGTTTGTCACTGCCAACAGTTACAAAAGCTAAACCAAACACAACTGTTTAAAGTACATTTATTAATGCCACCAGTTTATGGAGATTAACAGACCAACATAATCTGTGTGGAGAAACCCTAAACACTCTTGATATGTTCTAGACGTTCTTATAATTTTATTTGACTGTAAAATACAAAAAATAAAAAACACTTGTTTAGATCTAGAGAGTATTACCACGTTTAATCCTGCACAGAAACCACAAACTAATTCAAATTGTGGAATTGGTCCATTTTTCTCTGAGATCATGAGCGTCACCGCCAGGGCTCCACACAGGCTGCTTTTGCAGTTTCTTTGACTTCTGCCACAGACAGCAGGAGAAAGTTGGACTGTTATCGGTACCATGTGGACTGAGTGTGTAACGGGTTGATTCTGGGAGGAATCAGCCTTTTTAGAGAATTTCGATCCCGTGCACGGCTCCGTAAACTACCTGTTTCACCTGGAAAGTTTAGAGACGCAAGCAGGCTGGGAGCGGTGCATGCTGGGAGGATTCGAGGCAGGATAGCAGGAGAAGAGAAGAGGCAGCCGGCTGACTCCACCTTCGCGCCCCGCCGTCCCACCCAGTCCGGCTGGCCGAACCCGACCACCTGTGGACAGCGTTGTTTTGACCCGAGCCATGGACTCTCTTGGCCGGCGTCTCACGGTGAGACCCACTGGTGGTCCGGTCAGACGAAGCTAGCCTAGGGGCTAACGCTGAAGCTAGCTCCGGGTAGGCTTCGTTGCTGAGCTAACAGCTAATGTGCTGCCTTTAGCAGCGGATTTCAACAGAGTTGATCCAGATTGTTTCTTTAAAAGACCATAACCGGCCTGGTTACTGTGGGTCTTAATGTTGGTTAGTTCGTTTTTCTGTCACTCCACAGGCTAATTTAGCTAAGCTAGCAGCTTGTTTTGGTGTCTCGGCCTGTAGCCTAGCCCAGCTGGACCCGAGCTCTGGTGGTCAGAGTTTGTAAACCAAGCCCTACATATCGACTTGTTTCTGTTTTTCATGTAAAAACTCCCTCTGTCAGCCTGATAATCAGTCTGGGTAAGGTTCGGTTAGCCTCCCCGTTAGTGGCTGACAGATGAAGTGTCAGAAACGGTGAGAAGTTGTGACACAGGTGAGCAGGATGTGCTGGCTCACTAACAGCTGCTGTCATTAAACCCCGAATCAGCTCAGACAGGTGACTTTCAGTCCGGACACTGGTCTCGGATCAGTTTCCATCAGAGCACTCTCCTCTTCCTGCTGGGTGACCAGTTATACTGGACTTGCAGGTTCGTGTTCCAGCTCTGTGTACCTGCCTACAGGTGTTCTAGCTCCTCCCAACGCCAGTTTTCTGTTTCAGGTAGATGTTAAAAGGTAACAGTTCCTGAAAAAGCTACTGAGAGCTCCGACTTTTATTCAGTTCTGACACAAAACAAACACCTTATTTACCTGCTGGACTTTGTAAATAAACCAACAAACTTAGTGGATGAAAGTTGTAGAATCAGCTGATGGGTCTCTGACCAGCTCCCTGAGTGAGCATGGTTGTAACTAGGGCCGGGCAATATAGACAAAAACACTGATGAAATAATTTTATATTTATATAGATAATTATTGCTAACCATAATTGCAGCCCTGGTGATTATTTGTCATTAGTTGTGTTACAAGACTTGATTTTTATCCTGCCTCTGCAGATTTAGCAAACAACCCTTGTTTGTTTTTTCTAGACCGTGCCATGCTGGTGAACTACTGGGTCTTTTTTTTTTGGGACATTTTCTTCCACCCGTCCTTGTTGTGACATCTTTAAGTCAAAGTTAGGTTTGAGAGGCCAGGTCTTGGTGACAGAGCATGCCTGGGTCGGTGTTTTTGATTGGTTGAGACAAAGTAATGACTCTGGCATTAACCTACCCAATAGGCTGTAGTGAAAAAAGAAAGGAGACTCGTTTATTTATCACACCTCTCATTGAATTGTTGTCCAGCTCTAGTTGTAGCATCTATTCTAACATATATTTACTTCGACTCTGCAAAAAAATAATAGAACAGTTTTAGAAACACCCCAACAAGTTCTGTAGAATGTTTATACCCAAACGTAAAATCTACACTCTCTTCTGAATGTTGCCTCCTGTTGTGTGTAGGTTAGTCATCGCTCAGGTAAAACACACCTGGTAGAAACCAGAGACACCCTAGAGCCCCATCAATCCCTGTTTATCAGTTTTCTCCAGTGAAGCTTCTTCTGTTTGTGTTTAAAATAAAACAAAGATTTAGATCAAAATATGGAACTGAATGCAAAATATGCTGCTATAATGACCCAGAGGACACACACACACACACACACACAAAGTAAATTATTCTCACAGCTCAAAATACTTTGTTATAGTTGTCTAATCGTCCAATCTGAACTCTGCCTGTTAGCATGTTGCTAACTCTGCAGCTTACTGATGACTTCCTGTCTCTGTTGCAGGTGTAGCCCAGATCGCTCGCTGACCTCCACGGAGTCATGGAGCCGGATGTTATCCGCATTTACTCCTCCTCGCCACCGCCAATGGAGGACGGCGCAGAGGAGGAGGATGAAGAGTTTGGAGACTTTGGGACCTTCTCCAGTGTTCCAAACAGCATCAGCCTCTCTGAGTTTGACACCCCGACGACGTTCGACCAGACACACGCGCTCACCGCCACCTCGCCTCCTGAGCTCCTCAGCAGCAGGGGGGTAGTGGGCTTCAGCCACGGACCTGCTAACGGAACCTGCAGACCTGGTACTGAGCTACCCAAGGCTAACGGTGTGGGACCCATAAACTACCAAGACAATTGTCCCTCAGACAGAACTGAGACTAAGAAACCTGCCTCCTGCTCGCTGGACTTATCTGTGAGCAACATGGAGGACAGTGAGTCCACTGAGTGTAACGGTGGAGACACTGGGGTGCTGACTAATGGGTTTGTGACCTTTGATGTTCAGGAAAGCCTGTCCTCACAGATTTCTGTCCACTCTCTGATAAAAGGACAGTTCACTGAGGACACAAGAAGCGTCCACACCGGCAGCTCGGAGGACGAGTTTGCAGATTTTGCTGCTTTTTCCACCTCTGAAGGACATTTGAGCCAGGTGGTGGATGAGAACAGGGACAATCTCACAGCAGGTGGCTGGCTGCCAAAAGCTGCCGTCCACAATCAGGACAGTATCACAGAGCAGGGATCAGAGGACAGGGACACTAGGGAGACATCAGACGGGTGGATTGCTGACTCACTACAAAGGGACCTGAGACCGGAACGCTCAGAGACTGATTGCACTAATGACTGTCTCGCCTTTAGTATGGTGGACGGATCTAACGAGGCAGCTGGGGGCGCTGTTGATGACCTTTCACCTGACCTGACAGCTGACAGTGAGGTGGGACAGTCAGATGAGAAAAGCTCGGAGACGGAGACATCATTTGGTCGGCCTCTGTCCACCGAAGCCCTGGAGGAATACGGTGACATGAGCACCACGGGATCGGTGCCGTCTCCGCCTCTCCAGGGGGACACAGCCACTCCTGCAGAGGATGATGAGGACTTTGGAGACTTTGGTGATGCTGCCGTCTTTGGAGGACAGGGCTTTGGGGAGGTGCAGCAGGATCAGGGGCAGGACCCTGCTGCTGGACTAGATGTCAGCACAGAGCAGGACGACGACTTCGGAGACTTTAACTCTCCCAAAATCCACAGCATTGGGAATGAGGGTGAGGCGGGGGGTGAAGAGGCAGAATTCCCAGACTTTCCTGCCAGCTCCAGTTTTGGGAATTTCAGTTCGGCTGTAGGAGCAGAGGAGGATTCTGGGTGGAGGGCCTTTGGGGAGCAGCAGGAGCCAGAGGAGGAGTCCTGGGCATCATTCAGCACTGAGTCCAGCCCTGCTCCCCCTCCTGAGAGGAAAGGGGGAGAGGGGCACGAAGAAGGATCTCCTGCAGCTAGCGGACCAGGCCGGACCGACACACAGCTGGTAGGAACCTGGTCAAACTGGGTTGTCTGGGAGGCTCTCCTGGTTTCTAGGGTTCAGGATCAGGTGGGTAAAGCTGGCGGGTGGGATCAGTCCCAGAGCTTCCGGGTCTGGTGCAGACTCCAGCTCCCCCATTCCCACCTGAGTCACACACATCAGAGCTCACAGGAACAAGTTCAGCTTCACGGGGGTTTTGATGTTCTGGTCTGTTGTGGGCTAGATTAACCTTCATGCTGCTCTAGTGCACCATCAGGTGGACAATAACCCGTTAACTCTTCTGGGCTTTGGGCAGGTTTTCTAATGTGATCCGGTGACCCTGACAGTGTCCCACCCGCCCAGCAGCACCAGAACCCTGTCCTGGTCTCAGATGATCAGCAGAAATAGGTTCTCCATTGTTTAGGTTTTAAATGGCAGACATGAGCTGATTACCAGAGGTGGTGTTAATCAGCTGATGCAAAGAAGTCTCTCTGCAGACCTTTTTGGGAATCCTGGGTAAACATCTGGTGCTGGTCCTTAAAACCCAGTAAACCTGGTTCTGTCGTCTATGCAGGCATTGCTTTCCAGCCGTCTGGAGAAGCTGTTTCACACCAGCTTCCCTCCAAACTCCGTCCAGAACCAGCAGGAGGAGAAGCAGGTGGTGTCCCTGAAGATCCTGCTGGAGCCGTCAGAGGTCGGATCGAAACTTGAACCGGAGGAGGAGCGGTCACGATGCAGCCGGTGAGTGTATGATGTCAACAAACCTGGATCAGGATCCGTTCTGGAACCTTTTGCAGGAGTTTTTCATTTTATTCTTTATGACCAGAACCAGAAATCTCGATCCAAAAGCTCAAAAGTCAGTTTGTTGTTGTTTGACTCCAGATGTTTGTGTTAAAAGGGACGTATAAAAATTCTAATATTATAGTTATAACAGCTCTCTGGACTCTCAGCGGTTTTGTTCTCGACGGCTTGTTTCAGAATGAGCTGTTTCAGGGAGATGTCACAGTAAAGAGTTCTAGAACAATGTTTTTATGACGGGAAACTGTTCTTTCAGCCTCAGTGGCGCAGGAAACTTTGTTAGGGTTCAAAATGGTGCGTCGTCTACCTCCGCTTATCCGGGTCCGGGTCGCGGGGGCAGCATCCCAACTAGGGAGCTCCAGACCGTCCTCTCCCCGGCCACCTCCACCATCTCCTCCGGCAGGACCCCAAGGCGTTCCCGGACCAGATTGGAGATGTAACCTCTCCAACGTGTCCTGGGTCGACCCGGGGGCCTGCTGCCGACAGGACATGCCCGAAACACCTCCCCAGGGAGGTGTCCAGGAGGCATCCTGACCAGATGCCCAAACCACCTCAACTGACTCCTTTCGATCCGGAGGAGCAGCGGTTCTACTCCGAGTCCCTCCCGAATGTCCGAGCTCCTCACCCTATCTCTAAGGCTGAGCCCGGCCACCCTACGGAGGAAACTCATTTCGGCCACTTGTATCCGCGATCTCGTTCTTTCGGTCATTACCCAAAGCTCATGACCATAGGTGAGGATTGGGACGTAGATCGACCGGTAAATCGAGAGCCTGGCTTTCTGGCTCAGCTCCCTTTTCACCACGACAGATCGGCTCAGCGTCCGCATCACTGCAGACGCCGAACCAATCCGCCTGTCGATCTCCCGATCCCTCCTACCCTCATTCGTGAACAAGACCCCGAGATACTTAAACTCCTCCACTTGAGGTAGGACCTCTCTCCTGACCCGGAGTTGGCAAGCCGCCCTTTCCCAGTCGAGAACCATGGTCTCAGATTTGGAGGTGCTGATCCTCATCCCAGCCGCCTCACACTCGGCCGCGAACCTACCCAGCAAGAGCTGAAGGTCAGAGCTGGATGAAGCTAGGAGGACCACATCATCCGCAAAAAGCAGAGACGAGATTCTCCTGCCACCAAACTCGACACACTCCACACCACGGCTGCGTCTAGAAATTCTGTCCATAAAGGTAATGAACAGAACCGGTGACAAAGGGCAGCCCTGGCGGAGTCCAACCCTCACCGAGAACAGGTCCGACTTATTACCGGCTATGCCGACCAAACTCACGCTCCTCTGGTAAAGGGACTGAATGGCCCTTAACAATAGACCACCCACCCCATACTCCTGGAGCGTCCCCCACAGGGTGCCTCTGGGGACACGGTCATAAGCCTTCTCCAAATCCACAAAGCACATGTGGATTGGTTGGGCAAACTTACATGCCCCCTCCATCACCCTTGCAAGGGTATAGAGCTGGTCCACAGTTCCACGGCCAGGAAGAAAATCACATTGCTCCTCCTCTATCTGAGATTCAACTATCGATCGGACCCTCCTCTCCAGTACCTTGGAGTAGACCTTTCCAGGGGGGCTGAGGAGTGTGATCCCCCTATAGTTGGAACACACCCTCCGGTCACCCTTCTTAAAGATGGGGACCACCACCCCGGTCTGCCACTCCACAGGAACTGCCCCCAATGACCACGCAATATTGCAGAGACGTGTCAACCATGACAGCCCTTCAACATCCATAGCCTTGAGATACCCAAGACGAACCTCATCCGCCCCCGGGGCTCCGCCGCTGTGTAGTTGTTTGACTATCTCAGCAACTTCTGCCCCCGAGATTGGACAGTCCATCCCCAGGTCTCCCGGCTCTGGCTCCTCCTCGGAATGCGTGTAGGTGGGATTGAGGAGCTCCTCAGAGTATTCCTTCCACCGCCCGACTATAGTCCCAGTTGACGTCAGCAGCTCCCCATCCCCACTGCAAACAGTGGGAGCGAGTTGCTGCCTTCCTCTCCTGAGGCGCCGGACAGTTTGCCAGAACCTCTTTACCGCTGATCGATAGTCTTTCTCCATGGCCTCACCAAACTCCTCCCACGCCCGAGATTTTGTCTCGGCAACTGCCACTGCTGCACCCCGCTTGGCTATCCGGTACCTGTCTGCTGCCTCCGGAGACCCACAGACCAGCCACGCCCTGTAGACCTCCTTCTTCAGCCTGACGGCTCCCCGAACCTCTGGTGTCCACCAGCGGGTACGGGGGTTGCCACCACGACTGGCACCGGCCACCTTACGACCACAGCTAGCAACAGCCGCCTCGACAATCGCAGAGTGGAACAAGGCCCACTCGGACTCAATGTCCCCCACTGCTCTCGGGACGCGGTCAAAGCTCTGCCGGAGGTGGGAGTTGAAGACCGTCTTAACAGGTTCTTCTGCCAGGCGTTCCCAGCAGACCCTCACTATGCGTTTGGGTCTGCCAGGTCTACGCGGCGTCTTCCCCTGCCATCTGATCCAAATCACCACCAGGTGGTGATCAGTTGACAGCTCCGCCCCTCTCTTCACTCGGGTGTCCAAAACATACGGCCGCAGGTCAGATGATACGACTACAAAGTCTATCAAAGACCTGTGACCTAGGCTGCCCTGGTACCAAGTGTACTGATGGGCATCCTTATGTTCGAACATGGTGTTCGTTATGGCCAAACTGCGGCTTGCACAGAAGTCCAATAACGAAACACCACTCGAGTTCAGATCAGGCGCGCCATTCCTCCCAATCACACCCCTCCAGGTCAAGCTGTCATTGCCCACGTGAGCATTGAAGTCCCCCAGCAGGACAATGGAGTCCCCTGATGGAGCACTATCTAGCACTCGTCCCAGGGACTCCAAAAAGGGTGGGTACTCTGAACTGATATTTGGCCCATAAGCACAAACAACAGTCAGGACCCGTTCCCCGATCCGAAGGCGCAGGGAAGCTACCCTCTCGTCCCCCGGGGTAAACCCCAACACACAGGCAGAGAGTCTTGGGGCTAACAAAAAGCCAACCCCAGCCCTCCGCCTCTCACCCGGAGCAACTCCAGCAAAGGAGAGTGTCCAACCCCTCTCAAGGACTTGGGTTCCAGAGCCAATGCTATGTGTCGAGGTGAGTCCGACTATATCTAGCCGGTACCGCTCAACCTCTGCCACAAGCTCCTGCTCCTTCCCCGCCAGCGAGGTGATGTTCCATGTCCCAAAAACCAGTTTTCTTGTCCGGGAATCGGACCGCCAAGGCTCCCGCCTTGGTCTGCCACCCGATCCACATTGCACCGGACCCTTCATGTTCCTCCTGCGGGTGGTGGGTCCACATTTGGATGAGCCCATGTATCCGGTTCGGGCTGGGCTCGGCCGGGCCCCATGGGCGAAAGCCCGGCCACCAGGCGCTCGCTCACGGGCCCCAACCCCAGGCCTGGCTCCAGGGTGGGACCCCGGTAACCCTCCGGGCCGGGTACTCCGACTCTTTGAATTTACTTCCATGAAAGATCCCGGTGCAACACCAAAAAAAAAAGGAAAAATAAAAATAAAAAAGGGAAAAAAATATAAATGGTGAGACACAACAACCCCATAATAAAGCCCTACAGTGGAAAGACTGGTTTGCCCCGCCCACTATGGGGGTGCGTTTGCCTAGTATAATATTAGCTGCGTGCTGATTGGCCAGTTTACTCTGATTGCTCTATGATGCTGTCTGCTAAAAACCCTGTCCAGCCATGTTCAGTATTCGGATAGTTCCATAGGAAAGCTATGGCTTTTCCTTATTGTGATATTACAATCATGGAATTTTGGGAACGTTTTAAGCGAACAATTCCTAAAATAAACAAAATAAAAAACACGTGGACATTTCTTGTTTCATGTTTGGCGTTTTTATGGAGTAGAGACCCGAACAGCTGCACGGAATTGAGATTTGTAAAACGCAAACAAAAACTTGATCCAATTGGGAGACCAGCAGGGTTCAGGTTCTGGTCTGAAGCTGTTCTGCCTGAGTTCTGATGGATGGTTTGTCGGTGCAGGAGGGTGCGTGATGGAGTGTGGTCTCAGCTTCAGGACGTCCAGGAGGCGGTGGGTCTCAGATACCAGTGGGGGGGCTCCCACTGTAACAAAGTCCTGCTCTGCTGCCTCGGCATCGACACCAGGAACATCGTACGTCTCTGCTGGACTCCGGTCCTGGTTCTGGTTTTACAGCAGGATCCGGTTCTGGGTCCACTTTGGACATCTTTCTTGTTAGTAATGCTGATCTGTCCTGAACTGGCTATTGTCCAGCAGCTCTTCTGTTTTCAAGTTGGCAGCTGAACAAAGCTGTCAGTACCGGTACCATCAGAACCCGGATCCATGCATGTATTGTTGTTTTTTAAATATTTTATAATGTTTCATCCATAGAGCGGTTGTCCCGTGTCACCTGTGGTTCACTGTGATGATTCTGTGTTTGTGTCCTCAGCTGTTCACGGGTCAGAAGAAGCAGCCGGTCATCGTCCCGATGTACGCCGCTGGTCTGGTGAGTTCTGTTTAGTCCGCTCATGTGACTAATCAACCGATCCGCTGACTGATGGACACCTGGTCTCCTCAGGGGATGCTGGAACCCACCAAAGAACCTGTAAAGCCTGTCTCTGCTGCTGAGATGATCGCCTCGATCGCTCAGACACCTCCTGCTGCGTCAGAGACCAGCTCCTGCCAAGCAGACTCCATCCAGGTGGGACACACAGTAATCTTTAGTTTTTAGGTCCTCCTTGAGCAGGAAGTGAAGTTCTGTTGAACTTCCTGTTGTTGAGTTTGACTTTCTTTGGTTTTCACCCCCCAGGATGTTCTCCCCCCGGTCCAGTTTGACTGGAGCAGCAGCGGCCTTACCAACCCTCTGGACGGTAGGTGGACACCCTCTGTCCTGTCCTGTCCACTTCTCAAACACTGTTAGGATCTGACCAGTCACAACACACTTCCTGTCAGGTCATTAGCAGGTTGTCCAAATAGGACGTGGTTCTCTAGAACAGTGGTTCCCACACTCGTTGGGGTCATGACCCCATTGTGGATCAAAAAGGGCCACACAGAAGCTCTTGAGATTTCCAGAAATCAAAATGAAACAGAAAAATAATTGCTGAATGTAAATTTCCAGCATAATTGTTACAAAAACTGAACAAAAGTGTCATAAATGGATATAATGAATGTGAGTTGAAGTGATTTTCTTTTTTGCCCCAAGTTCTGTAGCTTTTCAAGCGCGTTCCTTTTCTCACATCAGAGAAGTATCAGGTCGCGTGTCTCGACCTTTTAGGTTGTGTGGATCTGAAGCTGAAAAGTTTGGGAACCACTGATGTAGAAAATCAGAACCATAAGGTTAGCTGGACCCAGAGAAATTCTGGGTCAGCCTGGGGGAGGGGCTTCATGTAGAACTCCTTTGTGTGGGAGGGGCTTCCTAACTCACTAACACTGATCTGAGGTCAGTCTGCATGCACCGCTCTGTTAGTAACATGAAGGAGACGCTCTGCTGCATGACATCTCCATCTCTCTTTCTCTGCCCCCCACCCCCACCCCCACCCTGGTGGTCCAGCCAGCGGAGGCTCGGCCGTGTTGAACCTTGACTTCTTTGGTCCTGTGGAGGATTCAGGCTCCAGCAGCTCTGCCTCCATTCCAGGTCAGCAGCTCTTCCTCCTCATCCTCAGTCTGATTGGATCCTCACTGACTGGAGATTGGGTCACATCAGAACCAGAACACCAGGTTTTATGGGCTCGACACACGGGAGGCGACATCGCCTCTCCTCTCTTCATTTTCAACGAGACATGCACGACAAAGCGATAGTCGCGGGTCTCCCTCCTACTAAGCTGCACGGTGGCGCAGTGGTTAGCACTGATGCCTCGCAGCACGAAGGTTGCAGGTTCGAAACTCGGCTGCGGCCTTTCTGCGTGGAGCTGCGTGTTCTCGCCATGCATGCGTGGATTTCCTCCGGGTACTCCGGTTTCCCCCACAGATCACAACATGCCCTATAGGTTATAAACTGTGAGTCGCTTTGGATAAAAGCGTCTGCTAAATGAAGCGAAACGTGAAAAAACGTGCGTGTGAAAGTTTGCGCTCGTGCACGTGTCGTGCACAGGCGACCCAGCGACTGGATCCCAGAAAGTTGAAATATTTGCAGCTTTTCATCGCCGTCGCTCGGACGAGGACCAATCAACGGAGGTTTCATTCACTGACCAATGAGCAGACAGGATGCTCCGTGCACCTCCGAGCAAACATGGAGGAGAAGTTGATTATTATTATGTTTTATAGTAAAATCAGAAGTAAGATTTCACATAACTCTAGCAGCACCTTGTGAAACATCATATCTACCGCTTTATTAACTCTGAACCGCTTAAATAACCTTAATTCCCTCCAACCTGACACAGCCAAGCAAAACAACGGAAGTTTAGATTTCGCCACGGAACCGAACGCGTAGACGGCTTTGCCGCGGGCCGCCTCCCATGAGACAGCTAATAAAAGCGACAGCGACGAATTTCGCTGATCGCTGTTGTTTGTCGCCTCCCGTGTGTCGAGCCCATTAGTCTGTTCCTTCTCCAGAATGGAGCATGCGGAGACCTGAGCAGCTCAGTTTTCCTTTTCTAGGATTGTTTGAATAAAAACTTTGAACCTTAAATCTGTTCTGTTGGATTACTGGTTCTGATCTGGTCCCACCTGTGATTCTCTTTCATCACGTTTGGACTCGTCTCGACCAGAGGGGGGGGGGGGGGGGGGGGGGGGGGGGGGGTTCTGTAGAGGACAGAACAAACCAGAGCTGGTTCCCAGCTAGTCTTGCTGGAGAACGGTCAGAACCTCCTGTCTGCAGCGCCCTCTACTGTCTGCTCAGTAGAACATAGAACCTCACTACGTCCCACCTGTTCACCCCAACCTCCTCAGAGGGAACGGTTCTGGTTCTGGTCCGTTGCTTCCTTTAGCTTTTAGTGGACTCCTGTGATTGTTGCTGTTTGTCTTTGTCTCACTTCCGTCTCAGGCGTGGACCCTGAGCTGTTTGAGCTGACCACGGCCAAACTGGACCCTGGCGGCGCTGGCAGCCGGGTGGCCGACGCCTTTGCCCGCCTCATGTCCACCATGGAGAAGACCAGCACGTCCACTAGGTGTGTTGGTGTCCCGTTGCAGCTGTGTGTGATCAGGAAACAGACCTGAGACCAGATTTTGTCTCCTTTTGAACAGGAAGCCGAGGAAAGACGAGAATCTGAGTGATGAGGCGTCTAAAGTAATCGCGGTCCTGCCCGACCTCTCCTTTATGCAGGCCAAGGTTCTGATGTTTCCCGCCACTCTGACTCCCCTCCGCTCACAGGCCATGGCTGAATGAAGTCCCGCCCATCACCGGCTCATAGCCCCACCCACTTTACCCTTTAGTTCTCTAATCAGATGTTTATTTCTATAATTGAGTTGTTGATTTTCTTCATTTAGGTTTTCAGAATAAAGCTAAGCATTTATGGGGGGGCAGTCATGTCAGGGATTCAACGTTTTAACTGATTCTGATGCTTTTATTTTGGCGGGAGTGTGAAGGAAACCTGCTGAAGCTCTTTAAATCAAACTGAAGTGTGTAAATCTATAAATAACCTGTATGAATTCATATGTTTATATAGAGAATCTTTATAAATCTATTTATGGACTTGAAACCACACTGCCTGCTGAACCCAGCTGAATGTTTGTCCTGGTTTTTTACCCCCACCCTCCCCCACAGAGCCTAGAGGGACATTCAGTCATTTCCATCTGGTATTCTGACTAAAGGATGTTCTTCTAGGAACCTGAATCCTCAGCAGAAATCATGTTTGTACAAAAGCTGATGCTCAGGTTTCTGGAATAAACCAGCTGGATGTGCGTGAAATGTCCCTTTAGTCCTCGGCTCTTCGTCCATCCACACGTCTGTTTTTTTCCGTCTCCCTCTTGTTTTTGTTGTTTTGGGGTAAAAACGAGACGTTCCGGTAAAACCACTCCAACTCTGAGCGGAGCGCTCACATCAGAGGGAAAGTAAGGGACCAATCAGTGGTTTTGTTGTTTTTGCTCGTACGGCTGTCGCTGGAGGATTTTGCACATTGTAAAGATGAAATGGATGTAATTTTAGTTCACTGTGGCTTTAGACTGTACAGGTTAACGGTGGACTGTCCGTGTTCGGGGGAGTTCCTATGGAAACAAGCGGAATCACTGGAAAAGCCCATCAGGAGCTTCCGTGCATGCCCAGGTTCTTCTCAGACCACCCGTGTGTAAATTTTAGTGTTCAAAGATTAAAATGCTTTAAGTGAGACACCTTGTGTTCTGGTTCTGTTCACTTCTCGAAGCAGGAAGCAGCTTCTGGAGAAGATCAGATTCTAGGGATTGCACCGTCACCCTCTCTGGACCTGGAGCTGCCGGGTCAAAATCTGGAATCGAAACCTCTTCACGTTTAAACTTCAACACTTTTTACTAAAACAGAAGAACCGGTCTCATCGGTTCTAGCTGCAGCTGTCAGACGTTCAGAAGGTTTTTATTTTTAGATCAGTCACGATGACCCCATCCAGCTTCAAGTTCTGTGGTGACCGGACTTGAGCGGCTCACAGAACCGTCAGCGGAAAATTCTGAGATTTTGATCTGTGACCGATTCTATGAAACGAGAAGTTCTGAAACACTAAAGCGGTCCATCTAAGGAGGTCCAAGCAGAACCTCAGCCAGACGCCACAAAGGTTGCAGACCAGAACCAGGGGTTGTATGAACTAGTCGACTTCACTGCTCTGTGACTTTTTATGCCTTTCATCGACTAGTCGCTGTCACATGATGATGACAAGATGCAGTCCTTGGAAAAGACAGGTGACGAGCCCCTGCGCGTCTGGATCGAGGCGGAGGCAACACACTGTGCCAGAGCGTCGGTACTGACACCCGCTATAAAATGGACATTCAACCAAATTGTGACGTTTACCCTCTTGCAATTTAACCTTCCCCTCACCCCCATCCTAACCTTAACCAGCTTGTGCATGCAAAGCTCTGATTGTTGACGCGCTCCAGACATCTGCGTCCTGAGCACGGCCACAGTAACATTATCAAATCAGGTGTCGCCACCTCAAACACTAATTTAACACGTGATCGTTCATGTCGGCTCATTTCCTTTTATGTTTTCTGTCTTTTATTCTTTTATTTGTGCCTGATGCGTTTCGCTGCTGTGGATCGGGGCGCATCACCTGTTTTGTCCTCAGTGACGCACCGATCACTGATGCGGCCGGCGAGCACTCCGCTGTTTTAGCGGTCGGTAGATATTTTAGAACTGCAGTTCAAAGGTAACTCATAAGGTGAATATATATGAACCCAGGTAGCAGTTTCTCTTTAGGATTGAGAGGAGATGCAGGAAGATAATAAACAGGCAGGACAGAAAAATAGTCAAATAAAAACAAGTTAGTTTTTGTACCTGCTGGTTGCAACAAACAGACACCATTGAAGGTAATCAGAAGTGAGGAACAGAAAATGAAATAATTATTTTAATGTTTAGAGCAGCAGGAACTCCGAGAGGCTGCAGGCGCATCAGCGAGTTTGCGGCCGCTGCGCAGGGGGAGGGGGGAGGGGGAGAGGGCTGATGCAGGGGGAGGGGGGAGAGGGCTGAAGCAGGGGGAGGGGGGAGGGGGCTGAAGCAGGGGGAGGGGGGAGAGGGCTGATGCAGGGGGAGGGGGGAGAGGGCTGAAGCAGGGGGAGGGGGGAGAGGGCTGAAGCAGGGGGAGGGGGGAGAGGGCTGAAGCAGAAACTACCGTTGTTAAAAGAAATGTGTTTAACTTTGAAAATGTGGGCGCAATTTTAATTGTCAAAAACTCCAACGAACCAACCGACCCCCCTCCCCCTTCAGGTGTATGACATCATCAACGACTAGTCGAAGTCGACTCGATTTTCATTACTTGACTGTCGACTTTAAAAAAAATTAAGTCATGCAGCCCCTAACCAGAACCAGGGATCGCTCTGATTGACCTTGAGGTTCTGGAGACTGTATAGCAGGAATTCTTGGGAAGTCTTTACAGTAAGGGTTCCTTTATAAACGTTCCCGATGGTAACTAAAAGTGTCCTTAAGGTTAGGACAAAGGGCTGGGGGGGGGGTTCTGATTAAATGTCATGTGACCAGCAGGTTCCTTGGAGTAGTTCTGGTGGAACCAGACGCCCGGACTCATCAGAGCGAGAAAAGAAACGACAGGAAGAGCGCGTATCAAACATCTCCTTCATTCTTTTAATAGACATTGTGCCACAAAAATGTCACGTCTTCATCCACCAATCACGTGCTTCCATTCCTGCTCTACCACCTCAAACTTTATGTATAAATATTTACAGTTTACAAACCCGGAGCTGGACGTCCCAACGCCACTCCAACACATCACGGGAAGAGAACCGGCAGCGTGCGCGCGCACACAGGAATGTTACGGGGGAGATGGAGGGGAGCAGCGGACTTCTGCCATGAAGGCGCGTGGACTGAAAGGGCGGAGTCAGCTGGCGTGCACACTGCCGGTTCCAGCGTGCGCTTCGTGTCACACTGCTCTGATGAGCAGCAGGAGCCAAACGGACTCTTTCTTTTTAAAAACGGTGTCATGTGATAGGTGGGGGGGCCTTACAGTCCTGATGATTCACTGGGTGACACCTGTTGGAGCGTGATACCCAGAATCCCATCTGTCCGTCCGTCTGGGGCGAGGGGGGGCTGCGGCTCTCAGCAGCAGCCTCCTGATGAAGTGTTGACTGGCTTGCTCTGGATCTTGACGTTGGACTTCTCAGCGGCGCCGGCCGTGGCCCCAGGGCCCATCCTCTTCTTGATTTCGGCCGCCATCGTCATGAAGGCCTGCTCCACGTTGGTGGCGCTCTTAGCGCTCGTCTCCAGGAACGGGATTCCCAGGTTATCGGCAAACTCCTGCAAAAGAATGAGATGGGTCAGCTCTCTGAGGTTCTGGTGATCAAGGGTCCACTCTGGATCAGAACCGGTTTCTTGAAGTTCTGATATTCCAAACTGACAAACATTTTAGGGTATTTTTTCATGCGGAAGACTAACCGCTGAATCACAAAGATGCTTTTATTTTGAAATTTGACAAGATTAAAGGATTCCTGAAATCAGCATCAGACCCCGCCCCACCTACAGATCAGATGGAACCCAGAACTTCCTCTGACCCCCTGATGACCAGAACCCATCTCTGCTGGCCCTCAGGGTCCCGTACCTTGGCCGTGGTGTAGTCCACCACCTTCTTGGTGGTGAGGTCACACTTGTTGCCCACCAACAGCTTGTTGACATTCTCGCTGGCGTAGCGGTCGATCTCCTGGAGCCACTGTTTCACGTTGTTGAAGGACTCCTAAAGACCACAAGCACACAGTTCAACCCCCCCAGAGGAAACAGTTTGGCCCAGGCTGGCCCATGACCCAGCTCGGCCCAAACCAGCATGACGACAAGCTCAGCTTCTGACCCAGTTTTGGAGCGGATGCTCAGAATAGACATGAACCCGGTCCAGGATGAACTGTTACCAGAACCTGTTCTTGTCCTCTAGCTACAATATAAGAACATCATGACCAGAGAGCTGAACTTCAGGTACACCGAGGGTCAGAGGTCACTCACCTGATCTGTGACATCATAAACCACTATGATGCCATGAGCTCCTCTGTAGTAGCTGGACGTGATTGTCCGGAACCGCTCCTGACCAGCTGTGTCCCACTGAGGGGGCAGAACACACACAAGCTCAAAATACATAACACACACACACACACACACACACACACACACACACACACGTCTCCCTACAATCTGCAGCTTGATGGTCTTCCCATCCAGCTCGATGGTTCTGATCTTGAAGTCCACTCCGATGGTGCTGATGTAGCTCTCGGTGTACGTGTCATCCTGAGTCAAACACAAACAGGTGAGTAAGGTTCCCGCAGCCTACCAGCTGCCTGCTGTGCTGCAGGTGGAGTACTTACAGCAAAGCGGAGGAGGAGACAGGATTTTCCCACTCCGGAGTCTCCGATCAGCAGCAGCTTAAATAAATAATCACTGAGGACACAAAACAGAACATGAATATTTATGAGGGGTGTCATCGACCAATCACCTTTAGGCTTCGAGGCGTGTCATCACACTCCAACTCTAAAAACGTTTTAAAACATTCCGAAACCTGTAATATTGCATGGGTTCGTGCTAAAATCCACATAGAGAAAGAGGTTCTGTTCAACCACCACTAAGAGTTTTACAGAACACATCAAATGGAAAGATCTTTCTTGCTGCATTCTGGTTTATTTGTAAAGATCTCCACAAAAGTGGCTAGACTGGAGCTCCAAACCATGACAGGACCTCTGCCGTGTCTCACCGATGCAAGGTCTACTTTCCTGGCCTCACCTAAACGTTCATCATGGACCCTGTTCTCTCTGATCACATTACCCCAGTGCTGGCTGCTCTGCACTGGCTCCCGGTAAAATATCGAGCTCAGTTTAAAATCTTAACTCTCGTTTATAAGGCCCTCCAGGGCAGTGCCCCCCCCCCCCCCCCGTATATTATTGCGCTTTTGAACAGGTATGCTCCATCTCGGGCTCTTCGCTCAGCCGAGCAGGAACTTCTGGTGGTCCCCCGGTCGAAGTTTCGATCGAGGGGTAGTCGTGCTTTTTCTATTTTTGCTCCAACTCTGTGGAACGAATTGCCACTGAGCATTAGGCAGGCACCATCCCTTCAAGTCTTTAAGTCTCGTTTAAAGACTCATTTTTATCCGATTGCGTTTCAGCGCTAGGGTCACTTGAATTGCCCTAACATTATGGTTTTAACTATTCTTCTTTTTATACCGGATGCTTGATTTTATTTTGTCTGACATTTGTTTTTTTAATCGATTGGTCTTATTCCAATATCTCTTATCTGTAATGCTGTTTGCTTGCTATTTTACGATTTTATGTTTTTATCCTGCTTTTATGCCCATTTATTGAGAATGTTTTTCTTCATTTCAGCACCTTGGGCTTCGGATAATGTTGTAGAAGGTGCTATACAAATAAAATTTGATTGATTGATTGATTGATCCTCAGTGAAGCTCTGACTCTGCACGTCAAGATCTGAATCTGCAAAGCTGGAACATATCTGAGGAAGTTTGTGATCTGCTGAAGGATGAATCTTCTCGAGTTCTGGGTCTTGTCTTTTTCCTGATAAAGATTCTTCATCAGTTTACTCTGATTGTGATGGACACTCAGGCCTGGAACCGGGTCAAAGACCAGCCAAGAGCCAAAGAAAAACTCCTTCAGAAATTCTAGAGAACTCCTGAAGCAGAACCACTTTAAAAGAATCATGAGAAGAAAATCTGAGAACAGAAAGAAATGAGGACTGGATGAGTTCTGGACCGAATCAGAACATTCGGGAGAGTATTTACAAACTGTATTAATTTCTAGTATGAGCTGGTTCTGACTAGAGGCCGACCGATATGTTCAATTTTTTCTATATCGGCTGAAATTATTTTTAAAAGACGATACAAAAATTTTAAAAATCAGGCACCTTGTTTACACCTGAGGGAATATTCCACCCATAAGTAAAACTGTCTGTTAGATTTCCCAGAGTTAGATAAATGAGAAAAAGGATTTTGTAGCTAACAAGCTCAGTCATTCTCCTGATCTGGAAGCAGTAAGTTTCGCTTTAGCTTAGCATAAAACTATGAACTATTTATGTATAGTTTAGATTATATTTTTACTACAGTGTGGTAGGGTGCCTTACTTTGTGAGTTTTTTTTTACTTGAAGATTCTTCCTCGACCTTTGCACCATTATTCTGGGTACTGCTTGATTTTCTTCATTTTAAACCCTTAAGAAAAAAACTCGAATCGGTTATATTTTCTACAGTTCTGTTTGCACATTGTTAAGGCTTTGAGTTTGTCTTATATTTGAAGTTCAATAAAGATTGAGAGATTTGACTTATTTAATTTCTATTGCACACAGTGAGTGTTCAGTTGTCTTTCACATATATATATATATATAAATCTTTAAAAAAATCTGTATCGGCATTGGCCTTAAAAAAACATATCGGTCGGCCTCTTGTTCTGACCCATTCGTTACAGAACAGATGGACACTATTTAGAAAATAAAACTATGAAGTAGTTTACTTCTGCTGATGTTTGCCTGCTGGCCCTGTAATGTACCTGTCCAGGTGTAGCCCCGCCAGTCACCTGGTGACTGATAAATGACCCGCACTTGTACAGCGCCACTCAGAGTAAGGACTCCAAAGCGCTTTACACTACAGTGTATCATTCATCCATTCACACACACATGCACTGGTGGGGACGAGCTACGATGTAGCCACAGCTGCCCTGGGGTGCACTGACAGAGGCGAGGCTGCCAGCCACCGGCGCCTCCGTCCACCACCAGCAGGCAAGGTGGGTTAAGTGTCTTGCCCAAGGACACAGCCGCAGAAGCCGGGATCGAACCTACAACCTTCCGATTACCCGCTCAACCTGTTGAGCTACTGCTGCCCCTGACGAAGAAAGACACCCGCTACCGGAGACCCCATTCAGGAATATAAATAAATAAAGAGTTCTACTGCTGGACCAATCAGCTCAATATTCGGTTACTGTTTAGTCGGGACTTTAACTATCAAATTACAAAACCACTTCCTGTTAGCCGACACCTGGCACGACTCGGTTCGACCCGGTTTGGTCGGTTCATGTATGAAGCCACTGGTGCAGTCTGTCAGCTGAACGGAACCCTCCGAAAGTAACTAAACAATCAGAGAGTAACCGCGCTGTCAGAGTACCGGTCCAACTCCCAACCCGCCCGTTAAATTAAGGTTAACGCACCCATCACAGTAACCAACAACCCCGTCAGCCTAACTGTTAGCCTGCTGGGCTAGCTGCTAGCGCTACCAGAGTGAAAACATCGCTAACAGATTATTTCTTGACTATCATGGCGCTTTCCGGACCGGAACCCAACGATATCAACAGGACCAGATGTTAAACAACCTGGGATGACACCAAAATGTCTGAGCAGCTGTCAGCCAGCCTGCTGAACACCGACACCAGAGCCGCTGACGAGCCACTCCGCCCGAATAGCTCAGTTAGCCTCCCCGGCTGAATTGACAGCTGAACCGGTCCGGACACAACCAAAAGCCGAACTTACTATTCTGGATTCATCGTTGACTACCGGACGTCACCTGTCGTCGCCGTGGACGCAGTTGGAGGTTTTTTATGGTGGATTCTAACCGACTCCGGACTCTTCTTACAAATGATTTTTTTCGCCACGAACTAAAGTGGCAGAACAGCGTAATCGAATCAAATATGGCTGTCCGACTACAACTTACCCGGAAATACCAAACAGACGGAATCATGGGTACTGTAGTTTTAAGTCAGATACCCCACCATGAGAGACCCTAAGAAGAGCTGTTTCAGTAGAATGAGCTCCACGAAAACCTGACTGGAAGCTATCATAGATGTTATGTTCATCAAGAGCAGCTGTGAGTTGTTTAGCCACAACCTTTTCCAAGATCTTGGAGATGAACGGAAGTTTAGAGATGGGTCTGAAGCTGCTATGGAGAGAGGGGTCCAGACTCGGTTTTTTAAGAAGCGGGTGGATTACAGCGTTCTTAAAGTAAGCAGGGACCTGACCAGAAACCAGAGAAGCATTAATTATAGAGAGCACGCTGGGACCGATGGACTGAAAAGCACTTTTAAACAAAGATGAGGGTAAGATGTGGAGGGGGCATGCAGAGGTCTTCATAGAGTTAACTAGTTTGGTTAACTCAGGCAAAGAAACAGGAGCAAAGCTATCTAGGATGATGGGCCTGGTTGGAGTCGGGAGAGGCAGCGATAAGGCTGAAGGAGAGATGCTAGATCTAACCTTAACGCATTGCAGCCACTGGGGGGGGGGGGGGGGGGGGGGGGATTAGTCAGATGTGTAATCCTACCCTAAAACGAACACAGGAGTGTGACCCAGAATTTGAAGCCCTCACTAGAGTAGTGTTTGTTATTGACCCTGTGGTGAACTCATGACATGTCCCAGGTAACTCCACCCCTCACCTGCTGACTGCTTGATGGGCCCCACTCCTCTGTAGGAGTCATTCAATGGTGAAGGAATATATTAACTAAGATTTAAGTGTTTATTTTCCAGATGTTGTCTTTGTACATGTTTTATTTGCGTACATCATTTAAAAACAATTAAAAAAATTGAACTGAAGATTGTACATCATTGACCTGATACGCGTCTGTGTGTGTGTGTGTTGTATATTTGAGCATTACATTAGAAAATCTGTATAAACAGAGATTATAATAAACTGCACCTCTACAATTTTCTCCAGTTATTAATCTGTAAAATGGACACGACTCTTCAGAATGTCTCCTTTAACAGCTGAAGACGCATCGGACATCAGCACAGTTCACTTTTCAACACATAAACATCATGTGGCTCTACGTCTTTTCTTAGGGACACGTCTCTGTCTCTGTCCCTGACAGCAGACTGAGACAGAGGTACCGGTTCTGCCTCCAGCTGCTGTTCTCTAGCCTGATTTGTATGTTTTGGGTTTCACATCATGACGATAAATGACCCGCGCTTGTATAGCGCCTTTCAGAGTCAGAGGACTCCAAAGCGCTTTACACCACAGTGTACCATTCATCTGTCACCTTCACATGTCTAAAACTGAAACGTCTCCAAATGATGGCATGGACGTAAAACTTTTAGCTTCTCTGTTTGGAACATGGAGCTGTTCACTAGTGAGTCAGTAATGTACAATCTGGTGCACTATAGTGAACCGGTGTTCTGTCTGAATTTTATCAGATGAAACATTTTCACGTCCCCAGCTTCAGAAAGTTTCATTTAACAAGACTTTTGAGATTAGATACAGCAGAACAGATCTGAGACCAACACTCCAGGAAGTCCAGCTGCAAGCTGGTAGATAAAACAATCAAAATGAACAGTGAGAGTTAAAAATATCTGCTGAGGTGGGAAGAAATTCAACAAATGAGTTCACTAGATAATAAAAAAATAAGCTAAATTAAAACAAATACTATCTAATTCTTAAAATTAACAAAAATAAAAAACAAACATACCCGGAAATAAAAACAAATCAAATTAATAAATAATAAAATAAAACCTAATAAGAAGTTTCATAAGGATCGGTACCTGCTGCATCACCTACGGCTAAACTAGAAGCTAATCTAGGCTAACACACCTAACAGACTCAAACAAACACACACACACACACACACACACACACACACACACACTAAGCCCAAGTGTAAATACAGGCCCAGAGCCGGAGCCAGCCCAAGGTATATACAAATTTAGCGACTGCGTTGGGTCCCCCATACCACCAGGAGGCCCCCAAGAGCACCAAGATGACATGAGGAAAAGAAAGATTTGATAAATTTAAATATTTAAAATTAAATTAAAAAAATGTATTATGTAAACTACTGTAAATTCATAATTCCATGCTTTCTTCTTTTTAAACACAGAAACAGTTTTGTTTACCTGTTTTGTAGCTACAGTTTCGCGTTGGCGAAACTGTAGCTACAAAACAGGTAAACAAAACTGTTTCTGTGTTCAAAAAGAACGAAAGCATGGAATTAGAACCACGACACAGCAAGAACACACCTAAGATACTGTAAATTCAGAGTTGGTCTGCTGATGTTACTTTCATCCAATAACACATTTTGGAATGAAAGCAGCTATTGGACCATCCAGTTTTCTGTTTCACCAAAGCACTTCCCTGGGTCCTCCACTCATAACGCACTTGTGTGTTTAGCAACAGAACATCGCTGGTGTGAGAGGATCTCCGCTCAATTATATCATAGAAGGAGAAAAGGCTGGTTGCTACCACTTCACATTTAGGACAACCTACCCATAAAGAAAATCGCCGTTTGAAGTCACGGACAACAAAAGACGTAGAAAACAGCGACTGGTGTATCTCGTTTTTCCTCCGGCATCGCAAGTTTCCGGTTCCAGCAGAAGCATCTCAGCGAAGATACCTGAGGCGAGGAATGAGTGTTCCATGACTGTGTTTGCATTTAAACGTAGTTTGTTTGCAGATTTGCAATAACAGTTTTAAGGTGTCTGATCACTCTCAGCTGGAACAGAAGGTAGATAGTTTCTTTTATTACTTTTAAAGGCACAAACATCATGTTCATTTTTCATCTCAATAAATCCAACAGGTATAATATACACATATCTATACACACAAGGTTTATGTTTATGCTGAAATTATTATTTTTTTAGATATTTGGTCCTCAGTAACAGAAAAAAAATGTTATCAGCATGTACAAAGTTTCACTTCTAGGAATTAGAACAACATCAATAAAAAATTCTTAGCAACCGTTTGTTGTGGTCCTTGTGGAGTGGGTGGGGCCTGTGACTCATCAGCCCACAGCTTTGTGTTTGCCGCCACAGCAGTGGCAGGCCACGCCACAGCGGTGACATGCCCTGAGGGGGGCGTAGCAGCACATGCAGGGCGCCACCAGGGACAGGCCTATCAAAGCCGTCCAGCGTAGGCAGAAACGTTCGTCACTGGTATCACAGGAGCACGGGTCTATATAGTCCCCCTCTGGGTCCGACATGCAGTGGTACAGCAGACTGTCGGCGCACCACATAAAACTTACTCGTCGGATGCAGGTCTGGACGGGGTCAGGGGCCTCCTGGCAGTGGCCACGCCCATTGTCCTCGCGGCTGAACATGTCCTGACAGTAGACACAGCGAAGATGCTTTGAGTCCTCCAGTTGCCATTTGTGTTTGGCTGGAAGGGCCCATGGTGGCAGCATCACCATTGACTTGTGACCTCCAGCCCGCTCCAGGCAACCGTGTTTACCATCATACCGCTGCACATTACAGCCTAGCGGGTACGGATAGGTGTAGTCACGTTTCGGTGGTTCACTCTTGGTGAAATGTACGCAGGCATCAGGGTTGTATGGCTGCACCAGATGGTCACGCGCTGGATTGGCGTGTCGGTAGTCCTCATAGCCAGTGACCCAGGTCCGCTTGGGAGGGTTAATACATACGATTTCCTCTTCTTCCACAGGGAAGCTGACACGATGAGGAAACATGTGAAGTGCCTGAGAGGCCCAAAGGACAAAATTAGGTCCAGAAATCAGAGGAGTCAAATTTAAAAAATGTTTTTGTTTCAAACGGGTCACGAGCTGGAGCCGGACCTGGTGCTCGAGCTGGTGCCAGCGTCACATGACAGAAAGGAAAAACAGAACATTTCCTTTGTTGCCTTTTAGGTTTTGACTAAAACAGAAGATGAAATAAAATGGATCTTGGGTAAAGCTGCTTACTCGATTAAGAGCGTAGGGGTCCAGGGGCCGGTGCTGTTCAGAGAAGTGCTCCAGAATACAGTGGTGCCGACGGGGTTCACTGAACGTCTCTCTCCTCTGAGAGGAGTTGGAGGAGCTGTCTGTCGCAGTCTGCATAGAAGAGTAAAGGTAAGCATGAAGACTATGGGTAAAGCTTCTACAGGCCTGAACGGGACCCAGGCTGTTGGGTCAAACTACAAAAGATGTTGGTATAAAAGCCAGCCACTGACAGTCCAAATAACCAAAACACACACAACTACAAGTCCAACATTGCCAAAATTGTCAGCTTCTCATGACCATTGACAACACCACGGTTACCCCCACCCCTCGGGTTAAGAGTCTGGGTGTCGTCCTCGACAGCTCTCTCTCGTTTCAGGCTCACATCGATAACATAACCCGGTCTGCATATTTCACCTCCGACCCATAAATCGTCTCCGCCCTTCCATTACGTCTAACGCTACAGCCATCCTAGTCAGTAGCCTTGTTACCTCCCGCCTTGACTGCTGTAATTCACTTCTGTACGGTCTCCCTAGCAAACTCACTCATAAACTCCAACTAGTTCAGAATCCAGCAGCACGTGTTATTAGTAGAACGGACACTTTCCACCACATCACCCCGGTCCTTCAGCAGCTTCATTGGCTTCCCATAAAATTCTGATCCATCTTTAAAATTCTACTCCATACATTCAAAGCCATCCATTCCATATCCCCTCCATACATTACCAGCCTCATTACCATTGCTACACCCTGCCGTTCTCTCAGATCCTCCTCCTCCATCCATCTGGTGATTCCCTCATTCCACCTCAGCACCACGGGGAGTAGGACTTTCAGCTGCTCTGCTCCCCGTCTCTGGAGCTCTCTGTCTCCTGACATCAGAAACACCGATAGCTTCAACCTCTTCAAAACCAAACTCAAAACCCATTTGTTCCAAACCACTTATTGTTTGTGATTTCATCTATTTTATTCTGTTTTCTTGTCCTTTAGTTGTTTTATTTGTATTTTTATTGTGTTCTGTGTTCTTTCTCCTGTAAAGTGACCTTGGGTGACCTGACAGGCGCTTTTTAAATAAAATGTATTATTATTATTATTAACTAGGAATTACCTTGAGAACGTGGTCCTAAACCCCACCATGTCCGACCCACATCAATGGTTCACAGCTCTGAGCAGCCTAGGAGGACATTCACAACCATAATCCCAGAATTCTGATCGGGACTTCCTCCCAAAATATTCTTGGAGTGCAGATGGACCCATACTTTGGCTCCACCGGTCACTAAGCACCAGTGTTCCACAGAGCCCTATGCTGAGCCCATGTTGTTCTCCCTTTGAAACCATTATGGGTCCCTGGACTGCTCTAACAGAAACCCAGTCCACCCTGCCTTTCAGGCTCAAACACATCCAAGGAAACCAGGTTCAGATTTTTCCAGCTTTTTAAAGGTATCTCCAGAACTAACGTACCTTCCGACACTGAAGGCAGCAGGTGTTGATGCACTAAAACAAACATACATTGAGATCATCTTTGCCACCTTTGGTTTCTTAATTCTACAACTTTATCTGGGACAGGTCAGAACTGCAGCAAGCCAGTCCAGAACTTGTCTCTGGAACAGATGTGGGCCTGGAGGCAGAAGACCTGTTCCATCAGAACTCTGAATCAAACCTGTACCACTACAGAGCCAGGCTTTTGGACCGGGTGCTGACTAGATTCTGGAAGCTCCCCTACCTTTTTTGGTTCTGAAGCAAACAGAGTCCATTTTTCCCAGAAAAAACCTGGAATTCTGATCCATTTGATTTATAGTCTTACTGTTGTTCAGGACAGGATTTCTAGGCGTAGCCGTGGTGTTGAGTGTGTGGAGTTTGGTGGCACCTGGGTCAGGAGAGAGATCCTGCCTCAAGTGGAGGAGTTCAAGTATTTTGGAGTCTTGTTCACAAGTGAGGGAAGGAGGGAGCGGGAGATCGACAGACGGATTGGTCCGGCGTCTGCAGTGATGCGGACGCTGAACCGCTCTGTTGTGGTGAAGAAGGAGCTGAGCTGGAAATCAAGGCTCTAGATTTACCGGTCGATCTACCATCCAGTCCTCACCTATGGTCATGAGCTTTGGGTAATGACCGAAAGAACAAGATCGCGGATACAAGCGGCCAAAATGAGTTTTATGTTTATGTTTATGTATTTGGCCGACGCTTTTGTCCAAACAGACTTACAAGTGATAATCGGCATGTTGCCCTTGAGGCTAACAACAACAATAACAACAACTTGACATCAATCATGGAGAGTAGGGAACAAGGAGTGGACAGTAGAGAGGGGGGACGGGTGCAGGGAGGGTGCTAGTTTAGAAGATGCTCTCTGGAGAGCAGGGTCTTCAGGAGTTTCTTGAAAATTGAAAAGGAAGTCCCTGTTCTGGTAGTGCTTGGTAGGTCATTCCACATCTGTGGAACGATGCATGAGAAGAGTCTGGATTGTCCTGAGCGGGGTGTAGACACTGCTAGCCGACCATCCTGTGATGACCGGAGCGGCCGGGCCGAGACGTAATCCTTTGCAAGAGGATTCAGGTAGATGGGAGCCGTACCGTCTCGGACTTTGTATGCTAGTGTTAGCAATTTGAATTTGATGCGTGCTGCTAGCGGTAGCCAGTGGAGCTCAATGAGCAGAGGGGTGACGTGTGCTCTTTTTGGCTGATTGAAGACCAGACGCGCCGCTGCGTTCTGGACCATTTGAAGAGGTCTCACAGTACAGCCTGGAAGACCAGTTAGAAGGGCGTTGCAGTAATCGAGGCGGGAGATGACAGTAGATTGCACCAGGAGCTGGGTGGCATGTTGTGTTAGGTATGGTCTGATCTTTCGTATGTTATACAGCGCAAAGCGGCATGAACGAGCAACAGAGGCAACATGATCTTTAAAGGTCAGGTGTTCATCAATCACAACACCCAGATGTCGAACTGCCTTTGAAGGAGCCAGAGATAGGAAGTCCAGACTGTGTTCTCAAGTTTTCTCCACAGGGTGGCAAGGCTCAGCCTTAGGGATAGGGTGAGGAGCTCGGACATTCGGGAGAGACTCGCAGTAGAGCCGCTGCTTCCCCCTGTCGAGAGGAGTCCGTTGAGGTGGTTTGGGCATCTTGTTAGGATGCCTCCTGGACGCCTCCCCAGGGAGGTGTTTCAGGCATGTCCTGCCAGAAGGAGGCCCCCTGGTCGACCCAGGACACGTTGCAGAAAGTACATCTCCAATCTGGCCCAGGAACGCCTTGGGGTCCTACTGGAGGAGCTGGTGGAGGTGGCTGGGGAGAAGACAGTCTGGAACTACCTAGTTGGAATGCTGCCCCTGCAACCCGGACCCGGATAGGCGGAAGAAGACGAGACGAGACAACGAGACTGTGGTTAAGGCCCATCCCAGGTGAAGCCCAGATGAGTCGGCACCATTTCTGGACCAGGTCAACATCAGGCTTTATCATACATTCTTCTCATTATCATCTGGAATCACTTTAATTCAGATTCAACATCTCCAGATAAAACCACGCTAATCGCAGGAACACAAGTCTCCACCATATACCCACCGTGAAGACGTCATCGTCACCAAGCTCCGCCTCATTCTGCAGCGTTGATGAGGACGTGGTCGACCCTGGAAAGCAGAAAACACACGGTGACACCAGAACCACACCTCATGATGTTTGTGTGTGTGCAAGCATGCGTGTGTGTGTGTGTGAGCGAGCGATGCTCTACCTTCTGTCAGGTCCTCCAGAGCCTTCCTAACTCCACGGTTGAACGTCCGAGCATCTGATGGGCTTTGGAATGTCAAACCACACTTCCTGTTGTCGACCTTCCAGTGATGGAAAGTGGGAGTGGCCTTCGTGTAGACCAAGTCCTTCTTTAGGATGCACTCCAGAATCACCTATCAATCAAAGAGTCAACAGGTGACAGAGAAAGTTGGACGGAGTTAGCTTAGCATCTGCTAGCATCTGCAGAGGGGACAAAGGAGCTCATAGACACAGTTGGAGTGTTTGAACCTCCATCATGACGTCCACCTAAACCTCTGTTTATTGGTCTCAGACTCCCCACCTAAACCTCCTTCCAGTGCTTGAGCCTCACCTGTCGGTCTTTGAGGCGCTCTCCGCGGATGAGGAAGGTGTTGTGTCCCAGCGCTCCGTGCGGCAGTAGTCTGCACACACCCACTCTGCTGAGGCAGCCATCTTGAGCTAACCAGCCCCCGCTGGACTCATCTCTTGTCATCACTACTGCTTTGACACGCACAATGTAGCTATCACTGTAGAAAAAGAGTCAATCAATCAGTCAAACTTTATTTATAAAGCACTTTCCGCTGCCTTTATGGAAGCCCGGGGCGCTCAACAACACGTACAAAATGGCAGGTTGATCATTAAAAGAGGCAACAAAAAAGATTAAAATACAATTAAAAGGTATTCACAACAAACAAAATAGCATTACTCAATTTAAAACAGCCAGTAAAGATCATGAACCATGTTGCATAAAAGCCAGATGATAAAGACTGGTCTTCAGATGATGCCTAATAATGGTGCCTGTTTAACAGCAAGTGGCAACTCATTCCAAAGAGTTTTAGCCATCACTGACAACTCGTGAAAAACCTGTGTTAGGAGCGTGGAAGGGAACAACCAACAACTCCTGCTCTGCCGAGCAAAGAGCTCCAGATGGGGTACGCCTTTGTAGCAATGCAGCCAGGCATGGAGGAGCACAACCCTGTAAGGTGAAGGATCCGTCAGAGGAAGGTTCTGGTCCCAGAACGTTGCCTCTGACAGAGACGTTTGTGGATGAGACTGAGAGAATGGAGCACATCACAGAGGTGAGAGTTCACATCTGCATTCTCTAGGATTGGTACAACGGTGAAACCAGCAAGGGACTCAGACGCTAGACTTCATGACAGATCTGACTGGACACAGGTCGGACCAAAGACAGGTCTGACACGACATCTTGACAGAGACAGGTCTTACTGGTCCTTGCTTAGTATGAGGATTGCTGTATAGTCACTGACACTAGTCAGTGACTTGATGCAATTTGCTGGGTTCCTTATATAGGAAACATTATTTCTGATTGGCTTAATGAACTGAGCTGTACTGGAATGTTTATTAAGTGAAGTGCCTTGAGACGACTCTTGTCGTGATTTGGCGCTATGTAAATAAACTTGAACTGGTGACTGGTCTGATTGTAGACAGTTGTGGACACAAAGGTTTTTGATTGGTCTGTATTCCTCTATGCGTGTATTCTTGAAAATCTTCTCCAGTTACTGAATGTGAATTTTCTAACGTCTGCCTTTTACCCTATTCACTAAGCTCTAATATGCTCCAGCATCAGTTTTCCTACCTTCATATGCTCAGATGTAATTGTTGTTCTAATACCTCCGAGACATCTCAGCCAGGTCATGTTTGTAAATGAAAACGTAGCCTTGCTTTGACCTCTACTGACTGCCTATCGTTTACTGATGACACTCAGGTTTCACTCTTTGATTTGTTCCCGACAGGAAATCGTAGAGGACAGTTTTCCTTGTGTCGCTGACCTCATCGGCAGTGAAAGGAGACAGCAGCAGCGCTACAACAGGTCATGACTTGGTGTGTAACTATGGCCAAATTATCTGGAAACAATCCTAAACCAACCTGGGGTCAGACGTTCACCTGCAGGTCAGTCTGCACAGAAACCGCAACCATCGTTCTGGGCTGAACAGGAACAGGCAGAACCGACGATTCCTGATGAGTCACAACATGCAGCAGCCTCCCTCCCAGAGATTAAAGGTGAGTAACTGCATCCACACACACACACACACACACACACACACACACACACACACACACACACACACACACGCACACACGCACACACACACAGCGCTCTGAAGGCCCAGCACCTCCTCCTCTCTGCTCCTTACGGACTCAGAGGAGCTTACAAGAGGAGGAGGATGATGAAGATGAGAGAGGAACCCCTCCCCCGAGTTTAAATCAACAGCATGAAACCGCGTCCACGTGACCACCCTGTCACTCGAACACACATGAGGTTGAGCTGGGGTATGTACTCGTGCTCTACAGACTTACTCGTCGGGGCGCGTGTCCTCTGTCATGTTTTCCGTTTCAGCTCCGGTAGAAACGAGCAGCAGCTGCCGCCGCAGCGCGATGCGGCGTCTTCATGTTTCATCTGCGGCGGGGGCAGGAGCGGCGGATGCGGTCCTCTAATCCCGGAGAAGGAGATGTGCTCTGGTTCTCAAACACCTCCTCCTTAACCCATCGCTGGTGGAGAGGAGCGCGAGACCTCCCCCTCCTCCTCCTCCTCCTCCTCCAGTAGCACCTCCTCCTCCTCCTCCTCCTCCTCCTCGCTCAGGTCTGGAATGCGGTGACGGATCGTTGTGCGCTGGTTTCGGTGAGGATGTGGATGGCCTCGGTACCCATCTGCTCCTCACTCCAATGTTGGACTCAAAAAGGAACGGGGGTGGTTACGTCAGACCCGAGGGACCCGCAGAGTCACGTGTCCAAACCACAACAGTAATAATATTAATAATAGCTGTACTTCTGAGTATTTATTTTAGAGTATCGTGATATTTCTCTGAACCTTTACTTTGAAATAATCGATTTCTTAATTTAGCAGTTGCTTTTCAAAATAAGAGTTCCAGCCATCTGCTGCCTCCAGGTAATCATAAAGTGGCTTCTAGACATCTCAGAAGGTGTATTTTGGAGCTCACACACACACACACACACACACACACACACACACACACACACACACACACACACACACACACACACACACACACACACACACACACACACACACACACACAAACACCCCTCTGATCAATAATGTACACATTTTTAACAATTTTTTTTTCACATTCAAACAAGTAATGTGTACATTACAGAGTCATTCCTGTTTATAGCCGTAAACAAATACACTTACTAACAATAAGCATGTAAACATTTGTACAAAACTGTTTGGGTAGAATGCAAAATAAACACAAAACAAGCAAACACATTAAAAAAATAATAAACGTTCCACCCACCCGTCACTACATGGATAGCCCCTTAATTTAAACCCAGATCTCAGTTTAGCAACGCAAGGCCTACAGAACCATTTCATTTTTTTCCACAATGCAGGAAATGCTTGCAGAAATGGGCCCCATATATCTTCAAAGTGCCAGGGGTTTGTTTGAATGAACATCTGATTTTTTTCTAACTTTAGACAAGACATGACATCCGCATCCTGCAGCCTCTGTAGGTGTGAGGGAGAAGAAGCATCTTTCCATCTGAGTAAGATAGACCGACCAGCCAGAAGCATGGCAAAAAATAAAGAGTTTATTGAAAGTGTTAAGAGTTTGTTGGTTTTCAAGGACCCCAAAAAGAGCTACAACAGGGTTTGGGTCAAGTCTAGCAGTAAAGACTCTGCATAGTACGTCTATCCTCCAAAATCTATCCAGAAGTGGGAATTTTTAAGTTCTGACATAGTTGTATATCTTAGAGGTAAGGCCTTTAGATGATTTTACTAACATAATGTCAACTGTAACTGCACTGAAACTAGTAGTTTATGTAAAAGGCATTTTAGGAAATGCCAAACCTGAAGGTAGTGAAAGAAATCTGATTTTAAAATGTTGAACTTCTCTTTCATCCATCAAGAGTTGGGAAGCAGGGGCAGCAGCCTAAGCAGTAAGGCCCAGACTTCTCCACTCCCCAACCAGTTGGGCCAGCTCCTCCGGGGGAATCCCAAGCCGTTCCCTGGCCAGCAGAGAGACTTAAGTTCCTTCAGTGCATCCTGGGTCTCCTACTGGTAGGACGTGCCTGGAAAACCTCACAAGGCAGGCATCCTAACAAGATGCCCGAGCCACCTCAACTGGCTCTTCTGGACGTGAAAGAGCAGCAGATCTACTCCGAGCCCCTCCCTGAACTTCTCTTTCAGTTCAGACAACAACAAAAAACTATGACTTCCTCTTGGAGCAAATGATTAAAGCAAGTAATTCCCATTTCTGGAACCTTGAGTCCACTGTGGAAGGTTTAAGATACTGGTTTATGATGGGCCTCTGCTCCAGACTGAGAAATTAGTAAAGCTGAACTGTTTCCTGAATTGACCTCAGATTCTCAGAGTGTTTAACCACAGGATTGTCAAACTGAATGATGGACAATAGGAGCCTGGCAGAACCCATATAGGCCAAAGGGGAAGCACTACCATAAAGAATCTCAAATGTCATCAAATCGGGAAGTTCATGCCGTTCACAATAAAAAGGCTGAATTCTGAATCAGAATTCAGTTTCATATCAACATTGTTCGCTCTAGATAGGAAGAATAGGAGAGGCCACAAACTCACTACACATGAATGGGAAATGTGATAGGTTTGTCCAAGGAAGAATTATATTTCTGATATCTGAAATGTTCACTCTGGACAAAAGGGAATTCTATTATGGATATCTGGAATGTCAGTTTCTGCTCGGGAAAATATAATTATAGATATCTGGAATACAAATGCTTAAAAAATGCGATAATGACTAGAGTATACGCATCGTAGAGTGCTAAAGCTAATGAAGGAAAGCACACAACATGCTTATATGTTTAGGTTTTCGTTTCTACTAAAACGTGACAATATTTTTAAAATTGACTTTTCAGAATGCCTTTTTCCCGCACAGACTTGTGCGCCTGAATGCATCACCCAAGTGAATTCTGGGAAGGAGAAAAATATGGCGGGATGTTCAACAACGCCCAATTACAGCTGGCTGAACTCTTTGCTAACCGTTCCATTTTGGACATGAAATCGGATGTAAACAACTGAGTGGAGATCACCGAGCTTTTCCACTCTTTGTCCGTCGGCAAACATGGCTGAAGGGCGGGAAAGTTTCGAGTCTCCGGCCGGTGTAGGGGCCTCACCGTCGACACCACAAGCAACCAAACCAGCGAGAGCAAACCGCCTGAGCCGAAGCTTCAGGCTGACACAGGCGGCCACCGAGGACATGGACCGCACTCGGAACCAGGTCCCAGGTCAGCAGCCGAACTCCGACTCAATTTCACAATTTAACTTGGAACATTTTAATTCTCGAAGTTGCGATGGTGAGTTCAATGGCCGGTGTTATGTCGACATCAGTGCCCTCGACGGAATTTCTAAACATTTTTTTTTCAAACGGTTTATTTGTTGCTGCTTGGAAATGATGAATTCACGGTCTAAAAACATAATTAGTTTGAATTTCAGATCAACTAGTTGCTGATTTGTCCGATTAGATGTTGCATTAATGTTTAATACTTATATTAAATACTAATGCATTATGTTTAATATCCTAATAAACTGTTAGGAAAATATCACGTTGTTGCCCTGATTATGTTTCTGTCGGATTCCTTTACTGTCTGGTGCTTTTTCCTGCTCCGTGCTGTGGTTTTTGATTTTATCAGGGATCAACGACTCACTTGGTTTTAACAGATTCTCACTGACTTGTAAGTCATAAACTCTAAATCCACTAAAGCCTGT